TAGGCGGGATTCTCACATTATTGTTGAGAAAACAATGTAAATGTTTTGCTAACGACTCCCACGGCGAAATAACAATCGACTGCCGGCTTGCGCTGCCTTATATAAAGAGAAAAGTGACCTCTCTTTAACTTTTTAACCGATACAAGGTTCCATTTATGATCTTCATTTGTTTGCTATGTGTGAAAGGACGTAGTTATTTTGCTGCAAACTAGCAAGATTACGAAGGACCTGCTTCGAAGTAGTAACTGAAAACACTGAGTAGTGTATATGAAGAAATTTCACGATGACAACACGTTTCAGCACAGCACTCTAGTCGTAATAATTGTTTTCTAATAAAATGTCGTTTGCCGATTCAGCGGCAACGGTGAAACGAGTACGTGCCTCCATACGAATGTCGGCACGTAGTTAGCACGTGGAGGAACGCACTTTTTCTCGCCGAAGATCGTGCGTTCGATTTCGGAACGGGTTTGTGACGCCACCATCTAATAGAGAAGCACAAATGATGACTATTATTCCGGTTCGTAATAATCCTGCTTCCAATACGTGCATTTCACATTTTACAAGTCACAATCGGTATAAACGACCAGTTAAGAACAAAATATTTTATTTTGGTTTTTAAGCTAAATTGTATTGAAACGACTTTTGGTCTAAGACGGTGGGAAGCGATAGCTTCGTCGTTACGAATGAACTTTTCACCGAATCCTAATATCGAGGTCAGAATTGGAAAATTAGCATAATACATTATAGGCGCAACGCCGTTATGCAACGCGATATAACGCGAAGGCGTGTTTAAGTTATTTACATGAAGCGATTATGTAATACGAAAGTTGTAGAAAAATGAGAAACCCGTCGTGGATTTTATCGAGTGCAAAATTCCTGCTCTCTTTTTTAGTTTGAAGTAGACGGACCGCGTATTTGTCTATTAGAGAAGCGGCCCATATTACGCGTCCTCATTGAGGTATTGCATTCTTGCAAAGGAACCCATTAAAAATTTGAAAAATACCTATGTTCTTTTTGCTTTGTGTGTTTATGGTTTGCTCATAATTTTTGCTAAAAAATAATTACATCTAACTTATCTCTGTCTTTCTAAAATTCGACAAACGGCCGTTGCTCTATCAATAAGCTACGACGAATCTTATGGTGGAATTACATTGTCTAGAAAATACATGCATGGATAAGAACTCAGTATACACATGTAAGTTCATGATATTCCATGGAGGTAGGTAGACAAATGCCAAATATTACATTCTAATCTTTGGTTTTTGGCAAAAATATGGAGAGACACAAAACATTTTTAAAAGAGCCTATAATGCATGGAAATTTTTAAATAATGTTATTTTATCAATCACACTTGATTCTCCAAGGGGACCTATAAGAATAATGCTAACGGTTTGATGTTTATCTAAGTCACGAGATAATTTATTGTTTCGATATTAAACAATAAATTATTCTTTTATTCATTTGTCTAGTTATTTTAATCTTAGACTTTAGAGAATCTATGCAAAGCATATTGACATAAACGCATCATAACTTTTAAAACAATGGAGGTTAATTTGTTTATGGTAAGATATATATCTTTAAGGTCCTGTTATGTCCTTGCAAAAAACTATACGACAATCGAGTTTCTTGTTCTGACCTTCAATTGTCGTGATTTAATTTGAATTAGAAAGTAACAAATTCTTCCTACGATCGTTTATCTGACTTGGCAGATAAACTACAAAATTAAACTCGATAGCACAACAGACCATTTAATTTTGACTCTGATTGTATTTTTGTGTTAGCAAATAAAAATAAAGTAATCGCGAACTAATAAGAGTCTAAGTCGATCTATAAACTAGGTATATTGTAGTTGTTAAAGCTTACCTTTTCAACTCGAATCCAATAATCAACCAATGTCCACTCACAAAACTATTAAAATGATTAAAAGTCAAATTGTAAGATTTTCAAGCCGTTAGAGTCTCATCAATTACACCTCAATAACTAATATTTTGTTGAAAACGAATCAAACATTATTTGATTATTGCGGGAAAACACTGTTTTGTTTGTACTTAACGCGTGTGCGCACACAACAATTCAACAACTCCCCAATACGAAAACTGTCTTGTCTCATAGACGTCTTTACGCTTGCGCAGTACGCTTGTTCTTTTGACAGTTGCCTTGCCACAGACCAATGGAATCTCCGCATTCTCAGTATAAAGCGGCAGATTTAAAATGTACTTAATTGTACGGCGATTAATGTAGAAATGGTGCATTTTTAACTCTAAGTTAATTGCTGCGAACTTTTACTATATTATATATTTACCCGTGCAAATAGATATTTCACAAAAAAACGTGTAATGCCAAATAATTGCAACACATTTCAACTTCCCTAAGAATGCATGACTCCTTAATGTAAGTATATATGCAATGTCGTTAGGGATTAATGGGGAAAGCTAGTTCTTCTGCGTATGCACAAGTTTAATGACTGTGTAACCACTAGCCACACATCCATATACAGTTAATAAGCATTATACAACGAAATATGTCTGCTTGTTTATAAACCATATTAGGTCTTGAAGTTTATTTAAAAATCATACAAGATCCAAAATTAAGTCTCAATGAAAAGTATAATTACATTTTCATTGAAAACTTGATCACCTTAAAAGAAATGTAACCTCGGACGTGTTCCGCAATAATGACGCAAGTTATAATAAGTCGAGATAGTCTGCTGTACTGAGATAAAATGAAAACGTCAATTAGACTTGATTTATAGTGCATATTGCATTGTTTTATGTACCGTGTCTCTAGGAAGTGACTAGAACAGGGTTTGGCAAATCATTCGCCTAAGCACCATTCTAATGTTAACACTATACTTTTTTCCTTCACTATCAACTTTACACCAGAAATAAATACAGACGGTTGTTGTATGAAATAATCTCCTGTAAGTTAACTGTGATTTAAACAAATATTTATTATTTATACCACTGTTGGATCTGAGACTGCAACGATAGCTATCACAAATTCCCAAAAATGCACTTTTCATTAAAAAAACGTCAGGGGCAAAATGTATCAACTTTTTGTGGTAACATCATCCATTTCTAGTGATCAATACCTACCATCCACAAATAAGCTTATTTAAAAAACAGAATAATGAAATAGTCTAGTCAACCTGACAAAAAATGTTATCTTGGCTATTAGTTTTCGATTGAAAAATGAATGATGTTACAAATGCAGAGGCAGATTCGTTTCACTACTCGACTTTGGTGACGAGGAATTAATTGGCAACCCAAAGACTTTTCCGCTTTAAAAAGTCTTTGGGTTGCCAAAGACTTTTGCAAGTGCAATAATTACGTAATTTTAGTTGAGTTATTTATATTTTCATAGTCTAAAAATGTTAATGTACAAGAGCGCAGTGACCGAAAATTGTTGACACAATTCTCACAGTAATAGTACAAATTCATTTTCGCGTAAGTTAATTGCACATTTTTATTTTCCTCCTTGTTGAAAATTATGTTTTTTGTTATTAGGCCACTCTGATTCTAGCAGTCTCATATATACTTACATTATGCGTCATACAGTATACAAAGTCAAAACGATTGTTGAAATATAACGTAAAACTGCGTGGTGAAGAGCTACTTTAATTAAAGACCAATTCGTAAACCATAACTTTATTTAACGCTTACTTAAATTAATGACCAAACGATACAAAATATTATAACAACATGTACATTAATTACTGTGACATAAAACGTGTCCCCTACTTTATTTCCTCTATACTTATAAAGACTAGACGAAGAATAAGTACATAATTATTTAACATAATAAATAAAGAAATCATACTATATCCACAATTAAATGCTAGTTCAAGAGATCCTACTCCAAATGTAATGTCAAGCCAAGGTTTTGTATAAATACTATTCTCTATTCCCATATTATTACACAATCAGACTTAGTTCAGCTGTTTAGGCCTACGGCCTATTAGAGACCGACAAAATTACTTTAAAAGATTATTTATGATAGAAGAAAACTGACAAGCATCGGGTTCTATTGATGTATACTAGATCTGCTATCGACCTGTTCTTGTTTTGGATATTTCCAGAACTGTATTTAACTTAGATACTATCTGTAGTTTAAGTGAGTAGTACATTTAAATAAAACACTTTAACGGTTTAAAACGCGATATATATTAGTCAAACTTATTGGGAAGTTAAATTAAACGTCGTTTAAAACAGAAACAGTCGGGCCGTAGTTAAAATAATTTCTAAATAAGTAATATATATCGCGTTTTAATCCGTTAAAATGTTTTTTTTAAATGTATTTAACGTATTAAATAGTATTAAAACGTTTGCGTTTCGACAAATTTAGATAGATATATTCAATTACATTATTACGAAAATTTAGTTCATACATCAAATAATATTGCTGAGAACTCATTTTGTATACCTTTGGTTTTTTTTAATATTTTAAAAATATCACACGAGATATATAAGCTCTATATGTAAGTCTACAAGTCTCTCGTTTATTCGCCCCAAATAGTTTAATACTTACTCTACTAGATTAAACCAACTATAAAACATGGAATGCCTAATGTGTAAAAGTTAATAAAAAAACACTTGTCTCGGTAGGGCTCCACCCTACACACAAACACTCACTTCAAACAGGCAGATGCACATACGTTTCATATAAATAGCTAACTTACGATTTAATTATTTCTTTGCCAAAAAATTCATCTTTTTAAACATCGTCTTACTTTGGTTACGTACATATGTGTGTACGACCATATACCTTGTTACGTTAAGAGCTACTGAATAAGGGTAAGACTATAAAATACTGTTCTTCTAGGGATTTGTATCAAATTATAACTTCTAAACACAATTTTCAAATGTACTCTGTAAAATTTTCTACCCACAAGATTCTCAATTCTTTTCAGTATCGCGTTCCTTCTAATACTGTTAAGTAAGAAGTATAAGTTAAAACATATCTATCTTGGAAAACCAATCCAACTGAATGGCTCGGTTGCATCAATCCGGGACAATCCAAGTGTTGTACACGTGTTGCCAATCGATGTGCTTGAAGTAGGGATGTTCTTTGATCTCGTTGATGCCGTCCTTGCCGCCGCCCAGCCGTTCAGAGGGTTCGTACGTCAGCAACTGACGGATAAACAAAATACATTAAGAGGTTTTCTAGAGTAACAAATATAGTTAGTCTAATAAGAGCGATTATAGTTCATTAACCCTATGAAAAGGATGAGATTAGTTAACTGATAGATAATATTTTTATGTACAGTTTTTAATTATTTCGAAAAAAACTAAATTGAGCTTATGTATTCGTGTTTTTGTAAAATAGACTGTTCATGTCATTTCATGGAAAGTCATGTGTTGTAAGAATATTTTTATTTAAATAACTATTTACATACACAAATTTTTTAGTATAAATTTAACTCACTTGAGTGAGGAGAGATTCGGCTTCCACACTGACATCCTCCGGCACCTGAAGAATCGTGTGGCTGGTGAACGGTGATCGGTGGTAGTGGGACAAGGGCTGAAATGTATCATACGACAAAGTTATAATCTATCAAATCATAGTAATAAGGAAATATGTTATAAGAAACATTATGTTACAATGTTTTTAAATGAAATAAATAAATTGTGTTATAATTTTATGGACTTATAGCAATAATTTTTCAAGTGCACATAAGCTAAAGGACATGGCAAAGAAAGTTTTTGACCCTCGAAGACGTGTGCAACGTGACTAAAGAATGTAACTCACAACTCCACAAATCAGCTCATACATAATCGCTCCAAAACTCCAAAAATCGCAAACGTTTTCCAAATTATCCGCTTCTTCCAAATAGACTCGCGTGTACAGCTCCGGGGCTATGTAGATACTCCACGGAGACCGACGCAGCTTGGACAACGCCATGTCCAGCCCGGAGTGGTGGATAAAGTACGTGAGGACGATTTGACCTCCCTCTGAGATGAGAATGTTCGATGGATGCAGGTCTCTGGAAATTATTATTAAAGTTCGTATTACCTTAAAATATTTTAAATAATATTTGAAACAGATATAAATACAACTAGAACAATAAAGCAACATATAAGTTGCATTGGTACTATTTAAAATCATAATTACTAATATTAGTGATTTTTATTTAGATCATTGACTCACCTACAAATGACTCCTGCGTTGTGCAAACTCTCCAAAGCGGTGAGTATCTCGGCACCCCACTTGCATATCGTAGACGGCGGTAGGACGTCTTTAGGTATATTTACGACCTGCAAAATCAATGAAAACTTGTGTTTATAGTGAATATTCATATTGTCGGCGTAAATACAAATTTTAATTTACTGCGCGTACAATGAACGAGAAAAATTATGAAAATAATGCTTAAAGCATCGTATGTTAGGCAGTGGAATCTTTTAAAAAGCTAACCTTAACACTCGGGCTGGGCACATCACTATTATCGTTCCGCACGTCACTATCATTCTCAGTCAACGCCCTGTCTACGTCCTGCAGAAGCTTCTGCGAATTCACGACTAGTTCCGACACAGAGAATTCCTCGTTGCGATTATTATTAATCGATTGTATCGATTCTTTGTTATTCAGAGAATCGACTTCTTTAGGAAATACATTTTCAAGGTTAACGCGTCGGGGAGTGTTAGGAATCGATTTGGCGTAGCTCTTGATATAATCGAATAGCTTTTGGCCGGGTGCATACGAGAGAATGAGGAAGATCAGGTTGGATGTGTCAATGTATGAGTGGAGCGGGACCATGTACGGTATGAGTGTGGGTAGAATTGGCTCTCTCGTGTCGTTGGTTCTTTGGAAGTAGTTGTCGAACTCGGTGAGGTTGTGGGGCACTTTCTGGATGACCTAAAATGGATAAAAGGTATTTTGGAAACATTAAACATGTTATTGATCGTTGTCCGACAAATTAAGATACCAAATCACTTTGTAATAAGTTTAACATTGGACCATATCACTCACGACACAAAATCTTTTTTAAATGTGCCCTCTGATGTAATATTTTAATTAAAGGCATATATTTTATCAAAAGTAACAACCGCTAAAACGGCATACTAGAGAGTATAGATACAAGTACAAAAAAAATGCTGGTGAAATATAGAAGAATGGTTCAAGTTAACACACACAACTTCACTTAATCGCGGTGAAACGGTCTTGCGTGTTAAGAAGACATATATACCTTCATAGCATAGCAAGTCTGCTCGGTCTTGTGCATGACAAGCATAATAGTATTTCCTAGTACAGCAAGCACGCGGTACATGCCTAGTTCTTCGTAAGGACGTCGAAGCATCGATAACGGAATCCCACTGTGAACAGATTTGGGTGTAGCTGCCTCTGTCTCCGGCAACAGCTGAAAGAGAGAGAAAACACGAGTCACTTGAGGATTAGAAGATCACTCAACATTTCTTTTACAGTTTCAATCACGGTCAGCTTGTAACAAAAATTCGACGATAAAAGGAGTAAGGACGAGTTTCTGGCCAGGTCTTCTGGTTCGTCCTACGCCCTTAATTTGGGACATAGTAGGGAATATTGATTGGAGTTTGTAGTTTTAGACTGTATTAACGTTCAAAAGTGCACTAGCTACCTACATAATAAATGATTTTTTGATTTGACTTGGTTTGACTTAATGATCAATTTCATGTTGTCAGATTAACTTTACTAACCCAAGACGATAAAAACTTACCCTCTGCTCAGTACCGCTGAGGTGATTCTTGTATATTTCCTCAGCGTAAGACAAGTACTTGTTGGTTTTGTCCTTTACTAGCGCTCGTCGTTCGGGGTTGGAATCGGCTGCAAAAAGAAAAGGTTTGAAATAATGAATAAAAAGTTTTTATTGAAGTGTGAACTTTATTTTAAATTCCGGATTTAAATACGACTTTGAAAAACGAAATAAAACCCGTAGCTACAATTTAATCAAAACAAATAACATTGGCTTAAAACGTACACAAGTCATTAATAGATAATTATCAACAGATTATACTTTGTAAATTTTTGTAAGAACTCACATTCACTTCGGTTCTGTCTTAAATAGGAGTATAAATACATAAAATCCATTATTATTTTCCACTGAAATCAACTTTGAATTAACAGTTTTCGCACTATTTTAAGACACTATATTTTTATATACTTGTCATACTGTTTCTTGTACAACAAACACGAGGCTACAACGCGCGAAATAAATCAATACTAGTTCGTTATTGATAAGGTATCAATAACATAAAGGTGTGGTTACACTGACACTGTTAGACGTAATGCAATACAGTAAGGTTTCCCTATTTTCACTGAGAGTTCTTAACTTGTAAACCACCTAAGTCTACCATGTTACTTGCTTTATGATGACAATAAATGACTATGACTGTTTTTGTAATAGATCCCAAAACAAGGTTTGATGTCAATAAATTTTTTAAACACCATTAAGATGGTATCCTGATAAAAATAAGGATTAAAGGATTTCAAATTAAGTAATTAACTCTTTATATGGAAGCACTTAACATAAGCCTTTACATACAAACGTTAGCGTTGATGATAGCAATCGTTAAAAGTACATTAGCGATAATTAGTACATTAATTAATAGAAGTTGTAATGATGTTAGCTTTTCGTTTTACTCATTAAGAAACAAGGTTATAACATTAATATTGTTTGTGTTGTGAGATCTAAGGTGTGAAGCCTAGAAAATTACAATATTTGGGCAATGTTTCTAAGGCATACTTGATCATGGTTGGGGAACATAAAACAAATTAATCAATTCAATGCCAGTGTAGTACTATTTCTAGTATATATCTATCTACAATACATATGATATCTATAAGAACCACTTACTTTGCACTCCAATGAGCATTTTCTCAATTCCAGATTTATAGCACTCAAAGGCTCTTTGGAAGTCCCCTACGTCCTCACAACGAGTGGCCAAATTCAGCAGATAACCAGCTTCGAAAACATAACTATCCTCCGTTTTTGTCTTGCATTCAACATTAGACAGAGACAGAACACTAAATGAGGAACTTCGGCGTGTCGCATCGCTGGTAGTCGATCTTAACGATGACGTATCAAAATTCCTAATTGAAGATTCCTTATATGATAAAAGTTTGCTACTTATATCAGTAGATGTATCCAAATTGCGACATCCATCAACAATATCCGCAGAAATCGATGACGAATTAATAGATATTTTATCGAAACTCGATTGGTCTCGACTCATAGTGTGATAATCGTCGAAGGAAGTAGACGGCGCATCAAAGTTAATCAAATCGGGCAACACTTTCTTCACAAACGGTTTCGACTTAACTGTAACCTTGCACAACTCTTCAAATAGAGCACTGTCAATACTGTCTAGGGAACTCAAAGACTCAAAACTGTTGGATGTCGAATCGATTCTATGACTAGATTCACGGAGTTCTACATCAGCAGGCTCATATATTGGTATTTGTGAGATATCTGTTGGTATGTTTGAGTGCGCTGGACTTGGATTCACATGTGATATGATGTTTTGTGCTGTAAATAAATATATTAAATTTTATAACACAAATAAGAACAACAATACAATATAGAACAGAAGAATGCTACAGAGTACAAGTCAATGCTTTTACACATTTTATGGATTGAGAATATGAAGTTAATGACTAGAATAACTCAAAAATTTCTTGGTACATAACTTTATTTTTAAAACATTTATCATTGAAATCTGAAAGCTACTGTATCCTGTACCAAACAATCACTTCTGAACTTATATTCCTACAGAGACAATACTACTAATTTAAAGAATTTTTGCAGTAATTTTAATGGTAATTCTGTAATTTCTATAGTTAAAAAGTATATCTTACTCTCTGGGCTTCTAGAATCATCATCAGACATTGGATACTCCAAGGGAGGTGTTTCTTCAATGGGTAACTGCAGTGAAGACCTAATAGCATTTATAACACCCTTGGGTTCAGGATCCGGGTAGCCAGACTGAAATATTACACAGTAATAATTAACTATTCTATGTTATGTACACGGCTATTAATCAACGAACAAAATTAAAAATAATCACATAAATGAAATAGCAAAACATTTTAAGTTGGTAATTCTTCTGTTCAAATTGACTGAGCAAACTGGGTCGGTTGCCCTTGACAAACAATTATTGATATACCTGGAGGAAATTGACAAATTCTGTGCTGGTAAATAGTAGTTTGTGTTCTGCCACAAATTCTAGTAAATTCTTTATTGATTTAGCTCTTTCTTCTATAACCTGCAAGTATTTGAAAAGAAAACATTATGCAAACTATTCCTACTAACATATTTTCATGTTGTATGCATGTATGATTAAAATCAGAATATATGCACTAATATTGTTAATAATGGAAAATCATACTTCCTGTTGAAAGCGTTTGAAGTAGCTGCTCTTAGCGAGTGGAGGGAATGTGCCTCGGAGATATAAGCCAGAATGTAAGGTTTTCATGCTCTTGTGTAAATGTTGAATATCACTATATCTCTTCCATACTGAAACAACTGTTACTGCCTCAGGTGAGTCAATAGGAAAAAGCTGAAACAAAAGGAAAATTTTGAAATCTTGATTCATTACATTATTAAATAAATCTTTTTACATTTGACATATTTACACGATTTTCGTTGTCTATAGTACTTACGGTAAAGTGTGTTTTAATAATGGACTATAATTTTGAGGAATGTCATAGAGATTGTGTTTCTTACACCTTCAAGTTTACAATTGCAGATTTTAAAACAGAGAAAACGTCCTTATTTTAGCAAATCCTTACGCATAGTTGTAGAGAGGCAAGTTAATATACAGTACTTACAACAGATGTGATTTTGTAAATAGTAAAACCATTTTTATGTTTAGCAGTTTCATCCACTGAAAATCGCCGAACCCATTTATCCCTGGAGGACATTATATTATGTTCTTACTCTTCAGTGCTTTCAATAAAGTAAGCTTAGCATTATATCAGTTAAAGTTTCATTATTTAGTTAAGCCATGTAGCTATTCGGCAAAACTCGAAAATAAAATGTTATCAAGCCCTTGTCAAGTGTCAATGTGAAATGTCATTACATATAATCTGATTTTTTCAGATTTTTAAGTGCAACAAAAGTTTACTTGAAGGTTTTACATCGACGTACTGTGAGTAGAAACTAGTACTATTTCTGAAAATACCTTATACAGGATTTCCACAATTTGTATGATTATTTAATTTACAGCAAACAGTTTAAATGTTGATAAACTATTGCACAAATTAAGTTACATCACTTAACTTAGATGGCGCTGTGAATAAAAGTTTGTATTAGAACATTCTTTTAACATAATCTAAATTAATAATATGTGCATATTTCAATTTATGTGGTAAAAATTATAGGGTATATATAGTTCTCCACTAAACTACAATTTTTTTTCTCTTTAAGGTACGGTGGATTTTTTTCTTTAATGTACTGAATTCTATGATTTATAGTTAATCCCTTCTCTGACCTCTCGCTCACTCAGCCCGCTCAAACTCAAACGAAAGGCGCGGGAGGCTTGTGTCTTGTTATGAGGCGGCGACTCACAAGTTGCACGTTATTTAGTCGAGTGTCGTGTTTCTGTGTCCTCGATCAGTTGATTTTAACGCGCACGTACCATGTGGAACGATAAATAAATTGCGACGCCAAATTTTTGAAAAATGTGCCAATAGTGTTGTGATAGATATAGTGAACAAAAAATCGATATGGGTTCGAAAATAGAATACGTGGATTCGTCACATTTGTACGCCACGAACTATGTCCGTAATTCGAAAGCTATCGGCGTGCTTTGGGCAATATTCACGATTTGCTATGCGATTATAAGCGTTGTCGCGTTCGTGACGCCGGAGTGGATCGGCGATCTCGACACCGAGTACCCTAGAAAGTTTGGCTTGTGGCAAATCTGTAGGGCGGACGAGGCCGTCGAGGACTGCAAAGGGAGGCTCGACGAATTCATGTCCATAAACGGCTTCGTCTTCAAGGCGTGCACGGTGCTGGTGGCGGTGGCCGTGGCGCTGGCTTTGTTTACCATTTGCTCGCTCCTTTTGTTTTTCTTCTGCCAATCCACGACAGTGTTTCACATTTGTGGCTGGCTGCAGTTGTTATCAGGTTAGTGCAACTCCACTTACAATTATAAACACGTCGCTATTCTAGTACAATCAAAGACCCTGATTATTTCATTTTCTTGTGCCCCAACACTTGCCTTATTGATTTCAAAGACACTCAAATGTCAGCTCTGAGTTTTGAAAGTAGGTGTTTCACTTGAAGCGAATGCATTTAGCAATGTAGTTGACCTTAGGGCAAGATTTTACTTGTTAAAATAACTATTCCTACCTACCTATACAGGTACTCAGTCAGATCACCGATGAGAAATACCTTCATATCTACTATTGTACTTTGTACTTGCTGATCATTAATTCCGTTATACCTAATATACCTACCTAGGTAACGTAGACCGCTATTTACATATTCAAACATAGAAGGAAGCTACATTTCTATATTACAATATATTTTTACTTCTATTATAACACAAAAACATCACATTTAAACTATTATATAATTTGCGTTGTAAGGTCAATTTACGCGTTAATTATTAATTAAAAGATAATTACTTAATTGAGCCTTAATATTCTAAACTTTGCTTCTTATAAGCTTATATAAACCTAGCTAAGTAGAAATACGTATTACCATTGTGACTTCTCTGCTCAGCGAAGACAAAAGCTGGAACTAATTCCTAAATGAAAACTAACTGTATAATATCAACCTTAACTGAGAGTCTTCAAAAGTTTAAAGTATGTACTCAAATGGTGGATGCTAGGTAGGTACCAATATCTTTATGTTACGACTAGTAAACATATTTGACATAACTAATTAGTTTATCACGCTCTACGCAAGTTCCTCCTGGAAATTACATTACAAAGTCAAAAATTTGCGATGGATATTGACACGTTTCAAATTCTCCAGATTAGACCAAAAGCCCTTTTTACGCGGTCGGTTAAGAGCTTACAAACTACGTAGTACGGGCAATTAGAATTATCGCAACGAACTAATCATTATAAAATTGCTAGACCAGACTTAGGTATGATTGAAATAATTGCACCATGTATGTACGGATACACCTGCAGTGATCTCTAGACGCACGTAAACCTACTTGGTGGTTGCTGAATTTTACTTTCTAGAGGATAGAAACCGGTTACAAGATGACTAGGCAGGAGGCAGGTGTAACATCCTTGCACAGAATATTGAACTAACCAGAAACGTCAGTTCGCTCAGAGGTATTCACGAATCAAGAGCAATCCTACAATTGGCTATCTATTATAATCCATGCGGAGCATTTATTGAGATTACCCGTTTGCAACTGTGAAATTTTACGCCAAAAGTGGATGTTGCAATGGCCACATTACGCAAATGTAAAAGTACGCTCCTACTGGTTCGTTCGATATTCTGTGCATTGCATTCGCCTTTTGCAAAATTAATCCTTAGTATGCTATCAACAGGATATGTGGTAAGGATTCGTTTTTCATAATCGATTTTAACGTTTCTTTGTTTACATACGTAAACGTATCTACAATGATAACTATAAAAATAGTTTATTAAACCTAGTTATATATTAATTAAACATCTATTAATCAATTCGTAGTCAAATCTGGTCCGTGTCGTCATTTTTGTTCAGTCCAACAAAATATATTTTTACCAGGCTCGCCTGCTAGCACATAATTATATTGTCGTGAGCATTTTTTTTTGTTCTAAAGAGGAATAATTCTTTTATACATATTGTTTGAGTATCTTGACGTTTTCACAGAACTAGCAGCGCAATCCCTTAAAGATGAAAGTGGAAGAAAATAGGAAAATTATTTCCCCGTTTCTTCAATATTTCCTTCTTGTATCTTTGGTCCTTTTGGTCACATCATACCTATAGTCCTTTTATTTTATTTTTTTTTTTCCCTTCACTTCAGGTTGCCTGGAAGAGATCGCTGTTTAGCGATAAGGCCGCCTTTTAGTTATAACCTAGTACATAAGAATTTATTTTTGTAAACCATTTCTGTGGTGTTTGTAATTAATAAAGTTAATAAATAAATAAATCATAATCTTTATGGCCTCAAGCCTAGAAATGTTCAATTTCGTTTTTTATATTCATCTTTATATAATAGTAAGGATAAGGGAATGGAAATTGATAGAATTTTGTTTTCATCGGTTCCTTAACTTATTTTACCAAAGTAATTAATGTGTGAATCCGGTTGCCATATGAGGACGACCTCGCGTGATGCACCGCTACGCGACCCTAAAAAGTGAGACATACCCGTGCGTGCCACTAACGTGTGATAATTGACCTATTGAACGTCTTCTCGTCGGCTAGAACTTTGTCTCTTTGTTGACTACGTCCGAATTTCATCCTTTTTAGTACAGCCTCGTTTTAGCCACGGTCCAACGACCGCCACACGTGTGAATAAGACAAAAACCTAAAGCATCAGAAATAAAGAAATTAGTTTATTACGCGTACCCACGTTTAGTTGTATAAAATCATTTAATGTAAGTTTTATTTATCTATCTACGCATTATTTTTTTAAAACATGAAAATAATTCAGCGCACTTTAGGTCTATTATGGGTTAGAGCAACAGCACGTAACGGTGTTGTGTCTTGTTTTTTTTTAAAATCTAAAATCATTTTTAATGATAAAATAATAATTTGAAGCAAATAAATATATATGTAAAAGTATATCCAATACCAACGAATGCAGTAATCTCAGTATATGTTGTCTAAAGAATTAGCTTGGTAGATATCAGCGATAAGACCTCCTATTCTTTTTTTTTCAAAATTTGTTTACGTAAATAAATATAGCAACATTTGTTACATTTTCAATTTAGTCTATCAGCCACTGTCGAAGCTGTCTTTGGATTTCAATTTCATGGCTTGCAATTTCAACGCACGATTTCCCTATAATTATGGCTTCTAAGTTAACTGCAGTGATTACTGATACCAATCTGACCGTGCATTTTCTTGAGCTTCAAAACCTGCTTTTACTTTAGTCTCGTTTGATAGTGTTTTGGTCAATCCGTCCATTTCAACGGCAATATGAAGGATTTATAGTACTCCAACTAATTTTAATTAACACATAAAAACTAAACGCAAGTGTTCCCTTAATTTAATATTACACAATTAATTATAGAGGATTTTTTTAATGAACCGGGAATTGATCTCGCGACTTTAGGTACTGCTATTTTATTAGACGTATTTGCAATATTTACCACATAATGATGTATCAAATTAGCTTTTAGTTAGATACCATATTAACGAAACATAAATCCACTTACTAAAAAAGAAATTACATGTGGTATAATTCTTGAGTTGTTGACGCGATATTATTTACTAGGTGTTACCCTTCCCGTCGTTCTTGCAAGTTAATCTCAAAACATAGACATATAGCGTCGCCGACTACTTTTTGGGTCGTGTAAAGAGGAATCATTCTTTCATACATATTTTTTGGGTATCTTGTACCGTTTTTGCAGCGTACGCCTCTGAAACCCATAACGATGAAAAATTTCCCCCGTTTTGTTCACATTTCCCGCTGTATTCGCTTCTATTAGTCACAGCGGAATATTTTATAGCCTATCCTAGCCTTCCTCGAAAAATGCTCTAACCAGCAAAAATAATTTTACAATTCGTTCAACCCGTTGTTCCTGAGATTAGCGCGTTCAAACAAACAAACTCTTCAGCTTTATATATTAGTAAAGATAAGCTAAAGTGCAGTTTACGATAACAATAGGGCTTATTTTTAGCGTACAATATCATCAATATCTTGTATAATTATGTCCAGTATTTTTTTTATTTCAATTGTATCTAAAAAAAAAAAAAAAAAAAAAAAAAAAAAAAAAAAAAAAAAAGCGGTATTAAACAAAGTTTTTAAGGCCCTATCAACCCTTATTTGGCAACCTATGTCTCCCCCCCCAAACCAAATCAAACCCCCTTTTTCCCACACACAAACCCCCCCCCCCCCGCACCCGCACCCCCCCCCCTTTTCCCAAAAGCTAGAGAAGTGTGTTTCTGTCAGGCTCTAAAAAACGAATTTTTCATACCTTCACCCCTATTTGTGTACCAGCCTATGTCCTTTCTCAGGCTCTAAAATATCTGTGTACCAATTTCATTTAAATCAGTTCAGCAGGTTCGGAGTTAAAGCCCGACAGACAGACAGACAAAAGTTACTTTCGCATTTATAACATTAGTATAAATTTATTTAAATAAAAATGTCTAAAAGGTAAATGGTATGGATAACACGGTTTGATTTTTTTAATAAAACACTTTAACGGTTTAAAACGCGATATATTAGTTAAACTTATTTGAAAATGTGCCGCTATTTTATTAACTTCGGTCCGTTTCTATCATTTTGTTAAATAGCTATATTAGACAGACATTGCTCCATGGTTTTTTTTTTTTTTTATTTTTAAAAATTTTATTTTTTTTTTAAAAAAAACCCCAAAAAACCACCCAAAAAAAAAAAAAAAATAAAAAAAAAAAAAAGAAAAAAAAAAAAAAAAAAAAAAAAAAAAAAAAATTTCCCCTTCAAAAAAAAGGGGGAAACCCCCCACCATTTTTTTTTTTTTTTTTTAAAAAAAAAAAAAAAAAAAAAATTTTTTTTTTAAAAAAAAAAAAAAAAAAAAATTTTACCCCTCAAAAAAAAAAACTTTTTTTTTAAAAAAAAAATAAAAAAAAATTTATAAAAGAAAAAAAAAAGTTTCCCGCCCCAGGGATATTTTAAAAAAAAAGGGAAAATTTTTTTTTTCTATTATTTTCTTCGCGGGGGGGGGGGGGGAAAAAATTTTAAAAAATAATTTTTTACACCTCCCGTTAAACCTTTTAATATAAATTGCTAAAGAGTTTCTATCTTAATTGAGTAGTAAGTATAGTCTATTTTACTCAGTGATAATGTAGCTTTCTAATGAAAGAAGAATTATTAAAATCGGTCCAGTACTTTTTGTGTTTATCCGTTAGATACAAAAATACAAATCTTTCCTCTTTATAATATTAGTGAAGATAGCTTGTTACCCACGATATTCGTATCCCGTCGTACGCGTCCCGTCGTTCGGGTCGTTCCTTGCAAGTTAATCTTAAAAGATAGATATATAGCGTCGCTTAGCGTCGTAACTTTTTTTTGAGCATTTAAAGAGATTTTACACAATTTTTAGGTATCTTGAACCGTTTTCGCAGCGTACGCATCTAAAACCTACAGAAATGAAAAATTTCCCCCCGTTTTGTTCACATTTCTCGCTGTATCTTCGCTCCTATTAGTCACATCGCAATGTGTTATAGCCCTCGATATATATCGACCTTCCTCAATAGTTGCTCTAACCAACACAAATAATTTTTCAATTCGAACCCGTACTTCCTGAGATTAGCGCGTTCAAACAAACAAACAAACTCTTCAGCTTTATATATTAGTATAGATATAGATATCGATAGAGCGTACCAGTACTTATCCTAAAATATGTTTAACTAATTAGGCTAACCTACATCAGCATTATTTTTAATGGTATTTTAATATCTAACACAAATGAACACATATATTATGCCTATGTAAAAAGGAGACTCCTTAACATATTATATAAACGTATTAAATATACCTCCTATACAAATATTTTTTACAATTTGAATACAGTAGAAGTTATGTGACTTACTGTTTAGCATTCGCCGAAATATGCATTTTTGAACGTTATCAAGGTTGCAAAACTGGTCAATAACAACAAAATTGCAAAATAGCCATTTGAAAGTGTCAGTCCAATAAATGTAGAATTTACTCGACAAATATTTATAAGATTTATTATTGAAAATTACTTATAATACTTGGGTTAATTTGAGAGTAAAAACTTATACAAAACTGTTATCATTTGTTCTACACAATTTGGCACTTGACAATTATTGGTGTCATTTTAATTTTGCAACTTTGTTTATTTTTGTAAAATCTTAATTTGATTTAACTAACAATAAAATGACAACATTAACTACATTTCCCGAAGACGACAGGTGCCCCAAGGTTTGCAACGATATCGGAGCATTCAAAAAAGCTGAGAAGGCCCCGGAAAAGGCTTTAGAAGAGGTTAAGAATGCTGAAGAAAAAAAGGGTTTCGTTGAAGCTAATGTCGAGCCATCAGCGTCTCGTGCTTCCGCGGAAAATCCACCAGAAGTCATGCGATCCCCGCCATCCGGGGACGAATATCTTCCGAACCTCAAACCCGGGCAAGATGGCAAAGTTGATTGGACCCCACTTGGAGGAATGACAGGTACACGGCCGGGCGTCAATAAATACAGTATCAGTAGATATTCATTGAGCGAATGGCGAAAACACAATGAAACAGTTCTGGACCCGGAAATTATAACTGAATCAAACATAGTCGAATATAACGCAAAGACCTCTATGATGCAAGCGTTCGGTAATATCGATAAGCAACAAAGTGAGAATTGCAAGCGCTTGAAACAGAAAGCTAGAGATATATACCGATGGAAGGTGGAGGTCGAACGTGCTTGTAAAGCTATAACGGAAGAAGTAGAGATGTTGGAGATTGAACGGCAACGTCTCAAAGGCGCTTCGAAAGTCCTAATGTTGCCCGAATCGATTTCCAAAGAATGTTTAGATCTTCGCTCCAACCGGTTCGAACCAGATTTAGTAGCCGACGTTGCCGAACAAGAACTTATCAAAGAAATGAACCTGGTGAGTGAAGTGAGAGCAACCCTTAAAAACACTTTGAACGAAATAGAAGAACAGATGGCTATCAACAAATCGGCCAAGCACAGGATCGAATTCGACTGGTGCGACAAGGCGATGGCTTACAACACGGAAGCGATTAACTTAAGTCTTAGTCCGAAATCGAATACAATTATGTTTCGGCCGGGCGCTACTCGTTTCGGTGAATATACGGCTCCGTTGGAGTATTGGGAATTTTTCTGCAGAGAAAACGTGCAAAACTGCGAAGCCGCCAGACAGAAGTCGGCCGATCTGCGAGGAAGTCTTAACGCTATTCTCGTCAACGGTGGCCGTAAGCTTCGCAACCAAGCTGACAGAACGGATATCGCTATAGCAGAAACTGTCGCAATAACGCAGGAACTCTGTACGAAACTAGAAGAAACGCTTCGGTCTACGTTGCAGAGGATCGCCGACACCGAATGCCTGATCGATACTCTACATGAATCTATTAGGAAAATGGACGCCGCAATTAAGTTAGCTCAGACGAGGCTAGACAACAGGAACAACTGGAGACCGCACGGAGAGAGCGTTAGGGATCAACCACATTTGGGATTGATAGAAGAAGTAAAGAAGATTCACGAGACGGTGACGTCGCTTCTTGGTCAATTAAGAAACGCAGAGAGGGTTAGAAAGGATCTATTAAATAAAAGAATAGCGCTAGAGAGAGACATCGCATCTAAGAGAAAAACACTGAATATAGACAGGGATAGATGTGGAATGGTCAGGTCGCACTATCCGTCAGCCTCGGAACTGGCCGGATATTAATACGACATGGTAATTTTTGGTAAATAACCGTCATTTGTATCACAAATCTGCATCGTTATGCATCATAAAATGTATGTTATTGTCTATTCTTGTAAATTAAAGTGGTAATTGTGTTCGAATTGCGTGCAATTTGACTTGCGTAACATTAAAACTACTTCCTATACTTTTAAAAGTTATCTCGTGAAGTAGAGATTTAAGATATCTACAGATCTTTATGGAATGATAAAATTGCATTCTAAAAATCTCCACATAGAGTGGTAATGTTTCGCAGTTACGTTAGGGCTTATTAAATAGCTATCATTAGCATTTCATGCCATTTGTGTGGAATCTAATGAGGGACCTTTCACTCTTTTGTGTTTTAAAGTACCCTTACGTAACTGGCGGTGCCAATTGAATGTTAAGCCGAAGTCGCTATTTGATTTTGAGTAACTAGTACCATATGCACAGAAAGACGATAAAAGATTTTAATTGAGACTGAAATGTTAAGAGTATAAATGGTACTAGAGATGTTTTGAAACCTTCGTTTAAGTGCGATGCTATGAAAAAAAGTTTGATACTTAATTCATAAATTATATCTAAACACATCCGCAATACGAGTATAAAATACTGTGTTGATTAAAAAACAATATATTGCACGAACAGTCCTGAGTCGTTCGTACGCTACGCCTTCAAACCTTTACTGACATTTACGCGAGTAGTACACATTTAAATAAAACACTTTAACGGTTTGAAACGTGATATATTACCGTATTGTTGTTGTTGTTTTTTTATTTAAACTTATTTGAAAATTCTTTTAACTACGGACGTTTCGGATGCTTTGCAGCAGTCGTGGTCACGGCAAGTTATCTTATATGAAGAATAAGTTTAACTAATATACATCGCGTTTTAAACCGCTAAACTGTTTAATTTAAATGACAATATAATGTCATTCGTAATCTCTTAACATCAAAAATAGAAATATTTTACACGCTTAGATAGTGACTGATTGAATACCTTAGATATTACGAACATACATTACACAGTACAGTTTGAATGTTTTTTTTTTTGGTGAAATTATTAAATTTATTGAAAATCCAAATAAAGTTTATTGAAAATCACAAGAGATCTCGCGCAAAAAATAAGGAGATATCTTATCGTACTTATCCACTTAGCAATCGTAAACTTTGAACGCCACATTGACGGCTTTCACAGCTTTCTAAAAAGTCTAGAATCTAGTTTCTATACTTAGAGTAATTCGTGCGTCTAAACGTTCACATCATTATTAACAGTAGTTCTGCACCCGTTAGTCCTTAGAATCTTCACACTAAATGTTGACTGGAAAAAACAATGCCTCGTTAACTAAGCGGGCTCCCACGCCGTTGGGATTGTGGGAGCATTCAACAAAGACTGACCTTTCTTTGCTTCATAATTTGCTCATAGCAGATAGAAATACGCTGATAACTGATAAGGTCAGGCGGTTTCAGTGTACGAGTATCTTGACGATGAGAGTTTGCTAGCTTTAGGTAAAGAGGTTATATATTCAAATTACATAAAGGCCGTATTATGTAAAGCAATATTATGTAAATGTCAATTTAAACTGAATTCAGATGACGTCCTAGTCGTCTGGTATTTTTAATTATTTTTACGATATTTTTAGTTATAATAAGTGTTTTATAAAATTTTCGTCCAAATGGATCCATCCAAAACGTGTCCGAATATTTGTCCGACGTCCGATAGGCGTGAAGATGTCAAAATTTATAAAGAGGCCGGGCAATCGAGGGGCGGAGAACTCGCCCACGCTGCGCCTTATGTGCCCGGAAAGATCAAACCGCCCGAGCCTAGAGTGTACCCACCTGGAGCTCCCCCCAGGTATTTGCCACAACCGACTGACAGTACGAGCGGGGATATTTTAGGAATGGGACCGATAGGGCCTTGGGCGGCCGGCCATTTGGATTGGACCCCACAAGCGGGGACCACGGGTGTTCGGCCAGTCGTTGACAAATATTCTATAACGAGGTACTCCACAGGCGAATGGAGGAAAAACAACGAATATACACTAACCCCCCGAGCAACAGATAAAGCGAGAGCATTAGAATCGCAAACGAAACAGGATATTCAAAACGCATTTACGAATCTCGATAATAAACTTAACGACTCTGACAAGAAACTAGGTAAACGCGTCAAAGATCTGGCTTACTGGAAAAAAGCAGTTGAAAAGACCCTCGATGCGATAACCGAAGAAATCGATACGTTAGATAAAGATAGAGCAAAATTAAAGGGAGCCTGCAAAATTCTGATGATGCCGGAGGCTATATCTAGGGAATGCTTGGAGCTCAGGACGTTTAGATATGAGCCCGACTTGGTAAGAGATGAAGCTGAGCAGGAATTAGTCAAAGAAGTTGCAATCGTGGGAGAGATAAGAAGAGTTTTTCTAAACACGTTAGCTAAAGTGGAGGAGCAAATGCTAAGAAATAAAGCGGCAAAATCTTCAATCGAATTCGACTGGAGCGATAAAATGGCTAGTTTGAAAGTGGATAGAAAAAATGTAAGCCTGTCTCCTGACTCAAACTTACTTCAGTGGCATCCGGGGGTCGCAAGATGGCCAGAAAACGCGACGACTCTAGAATACTGGCAACATTATTGCGCCGAGAGTGTACGAAACTGCGAGGAAGTGCGGCAAATGTCTGTCGATTTGCGTGGTGATCTAATGACCTCCATCAAAAACGGTAGCCAAGACATGAAGATTCAAGCCGACCGAACAAATGCCGCTTTAGCGGAAACAGTAGCGGCCACAGAGGAGATGTGCGCGAAATTGGAGGAGAACTTGAAAGAAAACTTACAGAAAATAGCTGATATCGAAAATTTAATTAACTTTTTGAAGGAATCATTGAGAAAAGTGGACGAGAGGAACAAGTGTGTGATGACAAGGTTGTTTGCTAGGAATTATGAGCGGTCCAACGTTGAGAATTGCAGGGACGAAGCTCAGTACGCGTTGATGGCGGAAGCTAAATTCATCCGAGAGACGTCCGAGTCGCTCCAGGATAAGATGCGTCAAGCGCAAACGGTGCGGTCGGAGTTGATGAAGTACAGGGGCGAGTTGGAGAAAGATATCGCTTGCAAGCGGAAGAGTTTGAACATAGACCAGGATCGGTGCAGGCGCGTGAGGGCACACATGCCCACTCCCGAGGAATTCGCAGCCGGATAACATTCTACGGAGCATTGCGACACACTGACTCACCACTCGATCGCCCGTTGACATTTAGTCTGAATAAATAAATGAAAGGTTATTTGCCGGATTTCAATCGACTAGGGTTGTCGACTTTTCATATTTTGACCATCACCCCTATTAGTAAACGACTTAACTAACTTATGTTTTAGCATCTCTTTATTTGGACATGCAAATTAGAAAAACCGTGCGCTCTATAGTATAATGTGAAGTGGTGAGTGCGATGCGGGTGTCAGGTGAAGCTTCGACGCCACATAACTCAGGCCTTTCGTCATTAAGATAACGCTGAAAGGGGTCATTGCCCTTAATCGATACACTCTGGTGGAGCTCGACACCTTTTTACAGTCAAATATTTTTCGATTGTTTCTTTTAAGATGCAATTTTTATTTAAATAAAACCAGGTTACTTATGGTAGTAAAAAAGCAATGTTGTATTTGTTAGATGTAATTAGTCTTTACTACGGCTTGGGAACTATTTAAGGGCTCTTTGTGTAGAACAAGAGGTTTATCTAAATCTATATATAGTGCGATCTATATTTAAAACCCATAGAAACGCGGTCGCTCCGCTCTTGTTATACGAGTTAGGATTATGAGCTGGGCACTGTTTAGTCACGTGTTCTTATAAATCCTATTAATCACACATCGACGACTAGATATTTCTAGATTATCTATGAAACAAAACCTTTTGTGTGTTTAAGTATGTTTAGTTTTAAGTCATATGTTTTTAATAACAAAGTATAAAGCATGTCAAGTATTAATGCAAATACTTAGTAGGCAAATGTCACCAAAATCAATTCAAAATTGAATACATAAAAAAAATACCGATTTATCTTAAACCTTTTCCCTTAGGTTTTAATCTAATTAGAATACATTTCTAAGAGTTTATTTTTCCGAATGAAAGTTTATGCAAATTTAGCTCTTTTTATCTTCACGTAAATATTATGATAAGTCACGGTAATCGATAACACCAGAAAAACCGCATGCGCAATTGATTATGTAATTATAATAAATAATTCCGCCATGTTCCTGATATCGCCGCCCTGCCAATGCATCAAGGCAGTTCCAATGTATAACAAGGCAACACCTCGATATTACCGTTAAACCTAGTGTGAAACAAATTGGACATTCGCAACGCGGCTTATAATCTGGGTCAGGTGTTACTCAATATTCGTGTTTTTCGACTGAACAGATCTCTAAGATAACTCTTGGAAGTCTGATTGATGAGTTAATGATTTGCTATTATTAATGGATCCACCATGACTTGGTTATTAAGCGTGAGAGGTATTATTTTTCGCAAGTTTAAAGATCTTAAAAATTTGATTAATCTCGGTAAAGTGTGGACCTGCAGTCGGGATACTGTTAATTAGGTATTAAGAAAGATTATTTGTTCTAATATCGCCGCACTAATGTACAAAATGTATTTTTATGTGAGCTTGACACTCTTTTAAAGAAATAATATTATGGTTTTATGCAATACAATGGATACATAGAAAGGTGTCTGCCAATATTAAGTGTTTCCTAAATATCTTATTATCCGTTTCGCAAATGATCGCCAATGCATTGCAAGAAGTAGAAATGTTATTACTTAACACTACATATTTTAAAATATTATTTTAAAATGGAGTGATTTATATATATCTATATGTAGTAGGTGTTGTATGTATTAGGTAATCTACTGGTTAAGAGAGTGAGATGAGTGATGATATATCTTTGAGGTTCCAAATTTATTGTAACTTTTTGTTGTTATTTCGAGTTCGAAAAACATTTTTTTAGCTACATTCCGGTCACAGACATGTAGCGAAATCTTAGTTTTATGTTTTTTTTTACTCTCTTGCTATAGGACCTTAAAAATCTTTAATATTTTATGGGTAATTTATAAAGATCGTTATAAAATAACAGAATCTGAAGGCGTGGTGAAATAGCATACCTACAAGCTTATAGGCGACCTTAACTTTCCTTTGAAACACGGAAACGTGCGTTCTATTCAGCTACGTGACGTTTCAGCTGTTGCATGCATCGGTGCATAAAACAGCTGATAATCTCTATGGATTACTGATTTTTGTGATAAAGTTCACAAAACATACAGCGATTGGACACGTATGGGGATTTGTGCATGTTCTAATAAATATTGGAGTAACTTAATTTTTACTTTATAAAATATATGTAATACCAACGGTTGAAGTATAAGTGGCAATCTGCTGAATAAAATAAATCGGCTCCCGAAAGTTTAGTTCAACTGGATTTCGGCCCATCTAAAGTGAGGATAAGAAGACACTAAGCCTTTTGAAAAAAGTCTAATATTAAGGAAGATATTTATTTGTAATACAGTCGATAAGGCCGTCTCAAAGAAATGTAACAGCACCCCCTCCAGTGCAGCCGAGCAAGTAATTGCGACGCAGTTAGCGTCAAAGCGTAAAATAAGTAGTTACATAAAGGAAAGGGAAACCGTCATAATCTATTTCTCATATAATTTGTCGTAAACGTTGATTGTTTACGCACAAACTCTCCGACGCTTTCTACTTTAAATCAGAATACCTTTCTTTGCATTAGCTGCGCCCGCGCAATTTCCTGCGTTCAATAAGATACTGAGTATGAAATATAGGAATGTCCTCGACGAGTTAAAACAAATTATGGACACATCATTGTAAATACCTCTTTGCGTAACAGATTCAATATAAACGAATTTCTCCTTTAGTCAGATATTAGGTAATGCAAAAGAATTCAACGCGTTTTAGAATACATAAAAGTAGCTTTGTAATACTTATCTAACGATAGAACAATGCGAAACAGTTATTTCGGTGCAAAAACATGGGAACACATTGTGCATTGTGCCCGCTTCTCAGGGATGCTGTTAGACGAATGATTGAGACTTGATATGCTTTGACTATTACTTCGCGATGTTATTAAAAAAACTCTACATATATAGTATTGTAACTATTGGAATACTTATAACTTTTAATTCATAAAACCAACTGAACCATCCCCTTAATATGCGCGTTGTCGATAAATAATTCGTTGTATGTTATTTGTGTATAACGTTATTACCTACTGCGATTATTGCTTTGAAACGATCACAAACTACGCTTACTTTGTCATTTTCATGATCTTTTATTACCAATACAAATCATAAACTTAACAATTATTACTAATTTTTGTTTCGTTAATTATTATCTCTTTATTATTTGTGAAAAAGAGACAAAAGATAAGTGATATTTAAATGGCGGTATTAATGTAAAATACCTACCTGCTTAGTGTATAAATAAATTAGCCAACAGACACTCAATGCCACCGCAAACCACGCGCATATCCTGGTCGCGTCCATCTCATGTTTCCTTGGAGAAACTTGCTTCTTTTTAATCGCCTTTATAGTCTCAATTTCAATTTTGCATCCTGTGTCAGGAAAACAATCTCAAGTCGGTTGAGCAAAAATTGTAGGTCACATTGTATATACCGCAATGTTAGAACTTAACACACATTTATTATGTTTTACAAAAACTTCCAACACTCTAACAAATTTCTAAAAGGGAAACACACTTGTCACTAGCCCCTATTAAAAATATAATGACAAAGGAACAATTAAACCACAAAATGTATGTCATTTTATATCATGATATAATATAAGAGACTCCATTGTTATGTCAGAAATGTTCGTTTACTAAAATTGTACTCAATTCTTTCCAGCATTGTGCCTCGTGGCCGGCGTAGCAGTCTATCCAGCCGCTTGGAACGAAGCGACAGTTCAAGAAACCTGTGGGCCTGCCGCCGACCAATATAACATAGGTAAGGTCACAGTGATGTTAAGTAAACAAGACAGTTGTGACCTAGATCAGTGTAAACAGGAATAATGTCAAAATGCTTACTTTATTTTTACTTCCTGGTAATAAATAATTGTAGATAGTAATCCGCAATTAATGTATTGGCTAGACATATGGTCTATATCTTAGCATTTTGTCATTGCAGGTCGTTGTCAGGTCCGTTGGGCATACTTGCTGGCCATCATCGGGTGTTTGGACGGAATCGTGTTGGCCGCGCTGGCCTTCATCCTGGCAACGAAGCATGTGAGGCTGCAACCAGACACCAGTTACCCATCGCCTTCACTCTACAAGGGTAAGTATTACATGCTTACTATTGTCAGGAGCTTAGCCGTTCTTAGACATACCTACTTATCGGTATATCTAAAAGGGTTTTAACTAAGAGTAACTTTACACTTTAAACTGCGAAATATGTTAGTTAAACTTAACCTTACTTGTACTACTCACGTAATCTACATACGGTATTTAAGAGTCGCTTTTTTGTGTCAAGTCACGACGAGAAAAAACATGTCACAGTTCTTAAACACATTTTACATTAGTAGTGTATTTAATAATGTGTGATAGTGTCGGGCTATAATAAGTACACGACTACAAGGCGACTAAACATTAATTACCATAAACGCACATTGTCTATTATGTTAATTATAACATGTTATATCGCAACACACATGTTCCAACCTACTTCCCAAATCGGGCTTTTCATTTCGGATTCGAAAATGAAACTCATGCATAATTAAATTGAGCTATATTTAATACCGGTTTGGATCGTAACTCGCCTTTTAGAATATCCGCAATACTGAATCAAAACGGAGGTATAAGTGACCCAGTATAGTTACTATCCAAATGACAAACAATACTTTAGACCTTTATAAATAAATGGGCGATGGATCATTGCAAGAATTGTTAAAAGTCAACGAGTAGTTCTGAGACTCGGTTAACCGACGCTTAGTATAGATAGAAAGTTTATAATATCAAGTATAGACTATCTCATAGTAATTGAAATCGCATGTATTTAGCACAGAAACATCAGTATGCGGATGACACTGTAATATGACGCCATATGCTAACCTGTTTTTAGGTATCTAGTTTGCAATCGATTTTTGAGAGAAATGTCTATCTCTTGCATATGCACAAGGTCACTGCAATTAAATTACGATCAAATATTCTACTTTGAAATTTACCAATATCGTTAAATTAAAATTAGCTTAAGAGTCTCAAATGCCTTTAAATATCGTTACCCATAGAAAGTAACGGCTTGAAGGTCAAACTTAAGAATTCCTTTATCGTGCGACTCAATTTGCATCTTAATAAAACTGTTTAATTTTATCAATTTAAAAACACTAACATTAATAGAATTATAATACAAATAGCTATGGAAGTAATATAATCTCTCTGCTCTAAAGCCTAGAAAATAAGACTTTCAAGGCCAGAAAGTTACACTGAAATTCATTTTACTTAGCTTTGAATTGAGTGCAAATATTAATGGAATTATAGTATATATCCATACATATCGTATGAAACAGATTTAAGGAAATTCCTTGGTTTTTCCAGGTGAAGTGAACAACGCGTACGTCACGGATGCGACATCTGTAGCCGGTTCGCGTAAATCTTTAGCGCTGCAGCCCGTCCTGATAATGCACCCCCACGCACCGCTAGATGTCGACACTTACTCGCACTACTCCGGCAGAACCGCCCGCTCCAAGCATGGCATGTATGCCAATTCTATGCATAACTATTAGGTCACTTTAACATTATTGTAGAAATATTTTAGAAGAAAGCTTATATTATTGCTAATTTTATTGAATAAATTCAAAGTTATGTGTATAGTATGGAATAATGTAAATAGCGTAATGTAATTGTCGTAGTAAGTACTTAACTTTGTTGTAATTGTATATTAATAATTTAAACTGCCCTTGAATTTATAAATAAGTACAAATAAATATATATTTTAATCTTGTAGACTAGTAATGTATGTACAACGATTGTCATTGTGCCTTTTATGTATAATAAATATCATTTTTATAATATCCCTTTTATTTTTATTATTTTAGAATATGTGCAGTGCAAATATATAAAAATGTATGGATATAATTCGCTTCTTTATAAGTCGAAGTATCTCTATTCTTCAGTAGTTAGTGCCGTATTTTTGATTTGGTTTGTTTTTTGTATTTTCCTTTCAAATTCAAATTCCTCCGACTTAAAATAATACCAAAAAGAAAGTTTTCTATAGCATAAAAGAAAGTTAATTAGTGCCATCCCATCAATAAGCCAACCAAGAGGTTCTGGATAAAAAACCGACCTGTCGAAAGACCGTGGTACACAAAGGATCAAATCTCCATCCTTTTTCTTCGTCGTCTTTGTTTTGCCCCTCTTTATTAAGTGATTTTTCCATGTTTGTACACATGTGTTGATAACCTGCGAAAACCTTACTAAGAAAAGACTATTGTACAGGAGGCAATAATTAATTGCAAATTGTAAGTAAGAGCTAGGTTTAAATTTTCTATATAATCGGCTTGATAAGAGAAAGTTCCAGGCGTCTATCGTTTCCTCCTTTCATACATTATGTTCAAGAAATCACAAATATTATTAATTTAAGCTTTTAATTATTTCCATGTCTTAACGTCCAAACGGTACTTTGAGTGAAACCGTTATTTTCTTTACAAACGTCACTGGGTAGATCGTATTTAGCTAGTAATTGCATTTGACTTCGTCTGCGCTCTGTTAGGCCGTGACGCCCTGGGTCGCCAATCAGTATCTGTAATATAAAAAGATAGTTTTTAAGCAAAAAGCCAACATCACGCGGTGTTCCCAGGCGGTCACCCATCCAAGTACTGACCGCGCCCGACGTTGCTTAACTTCGGTGATCGGACGAGAACCGGTATATTCAACGTGGTATGGACGTTGGCGATAATTTATGTGAAATCATGGATTTGGATCCAACTAAATACTGAAGAATTATGTCCAGATATACTACACTTGTTGTTTGAATTATTTAATTAGTTAAAAATGGTTAAACACATCTAATACCCAACCAGAGGACCATGCTTTATGTAACTGGCATCTTCCCAACCGTTAGCAACACACCCTCTCTCTTTGCCCTTGTCAGGGCTAGGCACCAGTATGAAGCTGGATGGAGCTATTAAAGATTTATGTGAGGAGGTACCTATTTGCTTGAAAAAGGGTGATGAGTGTAACAGGAAGCTAGATCCTTTAGCCTGTGAAGGGTTTTGGACAGGTTAGAGTCCCACACTCCCCACTCCATTAATTGATAGCCCCCGTATGGGGCTGCATAATGCATTTCTCCATGTAAACACAAATCCTTAGGACTGGAAATTCGAGCAATGGATTTCCAGTGCTCCACTGATATAATTTACTTATTTTCGATTCGTAATAATTGATAGTCACCATTTTCTTTTTTTCGGCCAATTTGCTAAGCCACTCAAACAAATAATTCGCAAACTCTTCCTCGTAAAACATGTCTCCAATCAAAATTGCATCAAAATTTTCACAACTCTTCCCTATGAGGTTCCTGGTGTTTGTTTCCGTGAATAAATTATTTAAGTTTGCATTAAAAATGGTAGCCCGTACTGCATCTGAAATAAAACGAAAATTTGGAAGCTACCATCAACGGGGGATGTAGCTCAGTGGTAGAGCGTTCGCTTTGCATGTGAAAGGCCCCGGGTTCGATCCCCGGCATCTCCATTTTTTATTGTTAAAATTCTATTACAAGCAGCATCTACAATAACGACGAACAAAATAGCGAAATTGTTTTTTTAATCTTTAGTAATTTTTCCATTTTACTCTCAAGTGCAAATTAAGTGTACTTTAAATAAATGGATAAAACCGCCCTCTATCTTTCGTAACGATGTACTAACATGGGTCAATATCGTTAGCCACGATCTGTTTCGCGCTCATTTTGGCGGCTGCCAACGCACCTGCGCCACAACCGCATCCGACGTCCAATATCCTTTGGTTTTTCACAATATATCCATTATCTAAAATGTATCTGGAAGAATATAAAATGTGTGTTATGTAACACGTTTGCTCTAAAAAATATATTTCTTTTATTGAATAAAAGTTAGTTAAATCATCTGTCTACAAAATCTCATAAGTTCAAATACTTTAGTATCATCGATCAGTAAGTTAAATTAAAACCTAAATATAAGACATATCTAAAATAACATTAATATAAAATGAATGAATGATGAGAATGCTTAAGTTATGTGTTTTACAAATACTCGGTGTAAACAAATGGACGGTGCAACCCACGTGTTAACAGTAATAATGTAATTGGTGAAATAGTGACATAATAGATCAATAAAATATTACTTTACTTTAATTTAGCTCGTAATGCAATGACAGGTCAACTAAAAAAAATAATGGAATGTGTCGTGTGGTCTAGTTAGAGAATAGGCTGATTCTTAATTTTACTTGTTTAATTGCCAATGTCCATACCACGTTGAATACACCGGTTCTCGTCCGATCACCGAAGTTAAGCAACGTCGGGCGCGGTCAGTACTTGGATGGGTGACCGCCTGGGAACACCGCGTGATGTTGGCTTTTTGCAGTGTTGTTTTATAATTTGCGGTTTTTACATAAAAGTGGTTAAGGGGTCAGTAAATAACAATAACTTAAAACTTTATTTTTTAATTTCTTTATGCTGCTCACGTCTTAAACCGATAAAAAATTAATTTGAATTACAATATACTTTATTTGTAAGAACCTTTTTCTAAGTTAATTTATATTACTTACGTCAAGGAAACAAATCCTATTACTATGTAAAATTTAACTTATTTAATCACATTGTTAGAAAAACATTATTAAAATTAAAAAATAACAAAATATGTAGCTCTATCTAAATCTCTATTCAGTTAGAATAATATAAATTATAGGCTAAGTAATACTGTATTCCAGGAAAAATGATCATGGAGATGGGGACGTTTTCCAAGAATTCCTCTGAAGGCTTTCTTGATTTTCGAGAGTTCGTGACTCACGGTGGGAGGTGGGAGAAAACTTCTTAAACCGAAGGGTGAGAAAGGAGGGATTAGTCATTGAAAAATTTTCATGTAAGTATCCTGTTTTCAACTATTCATGGCGGATTATGCTTTTAAATGTTTGCCTAAACCAAACTTTGTACAATATTACTAAACCAATAACTAAAAGACACGATACTTAGAAGCACTAAATATACACGCTAAAGAGCCAATAACAACGGATTAAATAATTTTTCCTGCTATACAATGTTGTCAGTAGTTTTAAGGAGGGAAAGATTTCGGAAAACGAAAGTGAGAATTTCTATACCAAAGTACAATTTCAATTAATTACAACTACTGGTAGGCGAATTTTCTGCTTTTTACGTAACATGCTAAGTCATGCTTAGTTATAATTTATGGAATACAATCAATTTCAGCAATATCATTGTTTTGACAATAGATCGACATTACTTAATGGAATCCAGAGTAGAAGCACTGATAACGTTTACGAATTTACAGTGTCACTATATTTCGTAACTCGTGTTTCATACAGGGCTTGACTCTATGACTCGAACTTCATTGATAACTTTTTAAAATCTAACCGTTTAAAATCTACCTACCGTACAACTACTTCTGCATTTGTTTTACTTTACCACTTAACTGGAAAATAGCATCGATTATAAACACTTGTTACAGACTCGGTAAAAGCTATCGTATTTCTCTCACTCACCATGCATAACGCGCGGTGTTAAATATTCAATGCTGTGAGTCATCAAGTAATATGAACTTTCCGACTGTTTTAGGATGATTCATTCGTTTCTCTCTCTTTTCAGCTTTCCTAACTTGTATTTGCGCTTACCCTCGCACTTTCCTCGTCGGGAAGAATTCATATAAGGAACATAGAGTTTTGTTCAATGCACACGTTACAGCATCAATTCATGAAATGTGAAACGGTGTAACGATAATACAAAAGGATTTGAGTGAGGTTCTTTACCATTGCGATGCTGTGACATTATTTTGTGAAAAATGTTATCACTTACAAAATATCTGTATTTAGACAAATTTGCAAGTTAAATAATACATATAATTAATGATAGGAATAGTAAACAATGCTATCTATTACGTGATAAGCGTTTCATCTAAGATAACAATTTTCCTTCAAATAAAGTATGTACGAGCGTACTAATAGCGAAGTATCTGTAAGAGCAGATTGGAATACTAATTTTAAGGGTTGTCCCCGGGCACTTTGTGTAGAGGAAACCGATTTGTAACCATATAACTTACTTAATTTTTGATTCACATCTGTATCATTATTTTGAGGATACCGGCGTGACAAAACATTGGACATGCATGTGTTACCTACCAATATGTATTTGGCGTGGTACGGCTGCTCGGTACCCTCATCGGAGGTTCGACGACCAGAAATGGCAACTATTAAGGGTTTCTCACATACGAATACAAAAATTACCTTTATTCATATATAACAGTTAGCGAAATTAATAGGAAAAAACGCAATTTTTCCTTAATACGGCTATACCATTTGCCTTTTCCTTATCAAAGACGTGTTTGTTATGCATATCTCGTAGAGGCACGTTGGTATATTATATCTAGGTGACTCGTCGGTCGGTAGCGTTACCTGGCAACCGCTTGTCCCCCTGGCCAGTAGAATGCCCAAAACGGGTCTTTGAAAGGCGACTCTTCAGCTGGAGAATTCCACAGTGGACACTCTGGCGTCACCAGACGCAGAACTAGTTCAGGAGTGAGATGTTTTCGCGAGGGCATCGTGTGCTTCAAAAAGAGCGAAGTGAAGTCTTTCAACATCTGGAATTAAAAAAAAACTCCCATTACCTGTACTCAAACAGAGTTTAGTTGGACAAATAAAATTGTTCAGACGTATAGCGACTAAACCTGGAATTGACTTACTTTTGACGACTCCTAATAAATAAGGGAACTTAACTGAAGGCGCTATGGGGCTTTTAAAAAGTTTAGATGTTATTACTCATATCGGTCTATGCTCTGATGAGAAATAAGAGGTGAGATGAAATAAAGTGACGTAAATAATTTAGTGCCGGATCGTTTGCCGATCTAAAAATAGCCGCGTGGTTTCCAAATACCCACTGCTTTTAAAAATGTGTTCGACGAAACGGTGTGACGTAGGCACATTTATGGTTACAGCGTGCGAAACTATTTTACATTTAAGATTGGCGATTTGCATTTATAACTCGAGGAAAACGTACGGTCGCCGCTTGAATTGACGTCAAGGACGTAATTAAATACAGTTTTGTTTACATACGCGAGGGAATACTGAAAAACCCCATTACAACAAATACGAAGAAGAAATAAGACAAGAGTAGGACTTGAAATCGAATTTAAGTAAATTTATGATTTACTGAGTAGCAAAAGAAACCAACAAAACACTTTATAAACCCGTCTAAATTGTGTAACAATTAGCTCAGTAAAAAAAAACAATTCGGAACAAATAGAAAGATTAAGATAATTAAAAAAAATAATAATTTAAGTTAAAGCTAGTTATAGGTTATACAAACATTTCACAACACGAAACCATATTCCAAAACACTAGATTGTGCTATAAATAATTCCACATGTAACACCGCAAACCGTGTTACGTCTAATTATAACGAAAATGACGCATTTCATTCGGTATGCGTCTGTCCTTAATGATCTATGATGTTGTTATCAGGATAGATAAAGATCAATCGAGTGTCTTATCTCTGAATCACTTCACTCTTATCAGTAATCAATTAGCCTTTGGCACGTTTACTTGTGATGCAATTCACATAAGATGGATGGTATATTGCAATGTGTGGCATACACATATAGTACAAAATATTATTATTGAAATTATTGTGAAACGCAATGCACAAGATATGTTTGGTGCGGCTGATACGCCCATCATCATAATTGTACCAAGCGCGGACATCTCTGCGTTATCAGAAGCCGCTTTTATTGCGCATTTTCAGATACATTCGATCTGTACTAAACCATTGAATCACACAGAAGATATTTCATAAACAAGGATAAAATGAATAAATTAAACTTCACGCGTCCTGCGTGAAGTTTAATTTATTCATTTACAAGAAAACAATTAAATTGTTCAGTTATCTAATTAACTAAAAACATATCTATTTAAGGCATCGTCAAGACTAAGAACACAAGAGTGTAATAGAGTCTAGGTCTAATGTTATCCTTAACGCTATCCCCTTTATTGATTAAGGCTTGAATAGATTGTCTAAATTTTCATTAAAGTCTGTTTAGAAAATTGCTTTCAACTAAAAATTCCACTCTGTCACGAGAAAATTTTCGTGTGTAAACGTAACACAGACGCCCATTTAGCGACCAATCGCCTTTCGAGGTCTTGCGAGTAACGTGACGTCAAGAATGCGTAGAAACGATAAGACCTAGGAATTTTTGCGACGTTAATGCGCAGTTAACTTTTATTAAATTGTCTTTTTCTTTGGGAAATTCATTGATCGTTTCGAAGTAAATATTTCTGTAAATACCGAGTCAACGGTTGTGCGCATAGATATTTTACCGCGCTCGCGCTTTCATAATTGTCACCGAGAGTCGGTAGAGAGTAGAGACTAGAGGCCCGGTTTGCCGGGTTGTACGGTTTGACGGGTGTCGCGTTAGGTATAAATCTTTTGTGTACTTGATTGTTTTGTTAAACATTAGAAAGTTATTATAGAGATATTTCATTTATTTGTATTTTCAAAAAACAATATCCTCAATAACATATCTTCTATATATTTAAAGTGATGAATTGAAGCTAATTTCAAGTACTATTCATCGTATTAATTTTTTCGTTTAGGAATTTTTCAAAGGTATTTACAACAATGACCCCTCTATTTAAAAAGTGTTCCTAAATGAGGCAACACAAAGAAATCACACGATTGCAACATGAAATTCGCGATGTCTACAAAATTAGCACTTCGACATTGTCTATTAACACAATTTGGGTTCAATCATTTAAGGCAATAATTATGTTTAGCGCGGTCGCACTTCTTTTAGCGAAATAAGCTGAATGGTGACGTAAATACCGATGCTTCTAAGTAGGTTAGTGCGATTCTTCGTTCGCGCCTAATGTTTTGACGTCGAACTAGTTTTTTCGTTACTCAGTGGCTAGCTACGAAACATACAGGCGAATTACAAAATCCCTTTAAACTGAATTAAATATGAAATTATTGTATGGATGCGAATTTTGTTTAGGTATAACAGCTCTATCATTTTTATTTTTATTGAGAAGAATTTGTATAATCATTACGCAAATTTGAGTTGATTATTCAGTTAGTTATCTAATAAGAATTGTAAAGGTCCATAAATTAATATCGCGCTAGGAAATGGCACACGTGTTCAATTCCTGCTTTCAAACTCTTAACGTCAACATAATATTATTACCTATTAACTTTTCATTTGTGTCCGCGAGGCGCAGGTGTTTGATACGATATTAATTATTATACATACTACCTGAGTTTAAGATCATAATGTTTAGGCCCTCGGAGAAACGAACTCTTCCATCTTCATCTTCATTAACAATGATAGAGACGAAAAAGTCTCTCTCATACACGATCACTGCCGTGTTCGAAACGTCCAGCTTAATAATAATGTTAAAATATCGCGTTTGAACCCGTCACATTTTAACCAAACTAAAAGCGAATGAAACTAAAACTAGATAACCTATGAAATATTTATCATAACATTATATTTAATATGTATTTTGTGTGGATTTAGTTTTTTGCTTATGTTATCTTATATGTTGCTTACAATTTATATCTCTTGCATCTACATACTAGAAAAATCCAACCTGCATACATACACGACGTGCATTTCTCAGTGACACGTAAAACACGACAAATAAAAATTACGGACGGTCGGTCAATGTGCAGACTTTGGAATTTGAACGTGTCTCGAACGACACGTAAAGTTTATTATCGTAGTGAAATATTTGCTTACTATTGCTGATTCTATGTTTTAGTTAACAGAAAAAATTATTAGTCACATGGTTAGGTTAGGTTATTTCATTATATTTTGATATCGGTGGACAATATACGCCAATACATGAAGTTCCTGCTAATAAACTAACGTCTAACTCTGTTGCAAACCTTTTTCTACACAAAGAAATGCTTTTTATTTACTAGTTGTCTTAATATGTATTATTCTATAATGAAAATTAAATCTCTAATAATGATGTAATATACCCACACATGATTACTAAATACTTTTTAAATTTCTGTAAAAATATGCGTCAACAAAATACCAACATGTTTTAAATGATTTTGGGCCAATAAAAACTCGGACACGCTACCGTTAAAGTTGATAATGATTTTGCTCTTCTTATGAAAGGACGTTGAACTAAACATTATTTAGTTATTCCATTACTACCTAATTAGGCATACGTTCTACCTGCGTTCTACTTAATAATAATAAGTAGTACGAAATAAACATAGTTTAATCAAGCCTTTGATACCACCCAGGTTTAAATCTGGTAACAATTCTTTAAATTGAGACACAGTAAAAGTAAAAATACCCCAAGGAGTTCTCGTGTGCTATTGAAGAGAAGTTATGCAATGATTGTGACCCTGTTGTGGTCGGATCCTGTTCTCTTTTCACGTTCCTGTTCTTTTTTTTTGTTTTATTACTGAAGATTAGGTTCGCACAATGGCAATTAGTATTTATTACAAAGCGAGTAAATGAAAACATTTTCAAACTTTACAAGTTATTTTCACATACTATCACTATAAACTATTTATCTTATTCCTCCTCTTGGCGATAATTATCAATAATGGGTAAAATAAATGTTTTTACGAAGTGACCTTATATTTTTTTCTTGCACGTGAGTTTCGACCGAATGCCTATTATCAGCGTCTGCATTTAAAATATGAATAGTTTAGATTGAAAAAAAATTCGACACTGGTGGTATTTGAAATTGCATCAGCGGTCCGTGCTTCTTGTTTAACCAATGGTCACGATAGGTCAATCGGTTAGAGGGTTAGAGGAGCAGTGCGCTGCGGATGACGATTCAGATCCCAACCGTGTCGGATTTTATTTTCAATCTATTCAGTACTATCGAGAGCTATTCAACTATCAAATTATATTAAAATTTTCAAACACCTATTTTAATAAGGAACTACTTTTAAGGTAGGTAGATAGGTATACTATGTGGCGTACAGTCATCTATAGCAGGTTATATTCCTACATTTGTTTTTGACTGATTTGGTTTTGATGCACCACCTTATTTTGGTTGCTCTTGCCGCATCCTCTGTCCTGTCAAAAAGTATTCCATTCGTAAGGTAAACCCCACAGACCTCACTTTATCAGTTCCGGCATTCCATTTCGGAATGGTTTTCCCTGACCGTCGAGGTTTTTACCCTAGCTTCGCTCGTGATGCATATAACAGACGGTAACGAAAGATCTAATTTCTTTTGAAATTCAAAACCAATTAGAAATGGTTCGCGGAAAGAGCGCGTGCGGCTTTCGCGCGAAAGTAAGGCTTCTACCGGTTAAAACCTAAACTGATTAACTCAGTTTCGAGAATAATATTTTATCAGAACCCACTGGACACTTTCGCACTGTAGCCGAATTAACAATTGCAAATCAATGTCGAAAAGAACTTGGCTATGGCCCGAGTCATAACATTTTTTTTATTAAATTTAGGAGAATATTTAATTTCCTAAATTAAGCTTAATAGACAATTAGAATTTCTTAGCAGACATAACTTTTAAAATTAAGTAACGAACGTATACGATGTCACTTTCGTTAAATGAAGCAATTTAAATATTGTGTTGTACACACAATTTTAAGTGCTTCTACGCATTTGTTGGTTGTTAGCTTGCAAAAATCAAAAGCCAGGAAGTAGTAGATATTATGTAACCTACTATTATTTTTGTTTTGATAGGTTAAGCCTGCAAGCGTAAGTAGATATAGATCCAGTAGTGTATCTCTTTCATTACAATTCAAAACTGCATAGGCATGAGAAGGACAAAGCATGGTCACGCACGCTCCACGTAAGTGTTGCCAACAAGTCAGGTTCAGCGCCATGGACACGTGGCAGTGCTTAACGGTACTACACACTTGAAGACGCAATCCTGGCGCAAAATATGCGCCGCTCGTCATCGTTCACACGAATACGAAGCTGCTTCCGATCGTCGTGATTTTTTAGAGCTTATTAAAAAAAAAAACCCTAAAACTCTTTTTTAGGTTACGTATTAAATGGTTAATAAAGAAACCTACCATTAATTAATTTTTTGCTCTTATAAAGAATAGGCAAAAGGCGAAAATAATCACAAATTACTTCCTTGTTATTACATATTTAGTTAAAAAAAAAAAACAATTTTCAATCGTACTTTTCGGCATTATAATATCTATATACTATAGATGTGTCGTTAATCATAAGATTATTTAAGTCTTCTCGATTAAGTCTAACATAATTGAAGTATGTCGCAATAATTTCTATGAAAGGAACAATTAGATTATCAGTAATGTTCGATACCTGTACTTGTGATTGCTTATCAGGAAGATGTTTTCGCAACGAGATAAACGATTGTGCAATGCTGCTTGACAACTTCAATTACACCATTTTAATATTTTTCGTCATATCAAGGTCATTAAGCCTCAATATTAAAAAAAACTATTACAACTTGGTATATGTTTACAATGCTGCAATATGTTATTATGGTAAAATTACATATTGTACATATATTGAAAAACTGATTAATGAATTCGGAGAATCTAACAGATTGTTTCGTTATATGAGTAATATGGAAATAGGTAACTAAGTACCAAATCTTCTTCGTAATAAATGTAATATCCATTCAAGTTATAACTACGATAGCTTCTATCATGAATCATAAAAATATTTTCGACGATTTATCAACATTATGCTATCGAGATATTCTAGCATTTCAGGTCATAGTCTTATCGCCCAAGCAAAAACAAGATATATCTACTTCTGATAAGGGTATTATTGATAACATTTCAAGTGAAATTCTTAAATGGCAATATCAAATCACGTTCTTGGAACTACTTATAAAGTTGATATTGATTCGAAATATGTGAAGAAATCTTAGAATTCTCATATTATCCTCAAGATTAGGCTCTTAAAGAAATCTGAAAAAAACTTTCATTAAATGAATCCTTCTTGTAGAAAGTTATTTATAGATGTAATTATTTCGCTTAAATATTTGTTGTTGACCTGACGATTTTGAATGATAAATTATTGTCTTTTTTAATGATTTTTGACTTATAACTTCCGTATGTCTCGCGTTTTCAATTTAGGTAAATAATCAGAAATCGCAGTATCAAGAACGATGCAGAAGTTCTCAACCCCCAACAATATAACTATATTTTTTAATGAGGGTAGTCAGAACCTAACGCCACAGAACCTGTGCTACTCATATAGGCGCATAGACCAATTCATTTATGCAAGCGTCGTTGAATAGAAATTTCTTGAAATGTTCAAAGCTCCAGGGTTGAGTAAACCTCGAATCGTATCGGACAACGTAACGTAGACAGGATAATGACCCAATTCCTCAAAGGGTAATAAACTGTGATTTTCACTATTTTGATGAAAAAGTACAACCCGTAAATTTATATATTAGTATATTTTCTTCTCTATTTTTGTTCATAGCGATTTAACTTCTTCTAAGAATTTTATTTATATATACCTTAGTATAAACCTGGTTAAGTGGGACCTAAATAAATGTGAATTGGGATTCTGTCGCTCAATTACCTGTATTTAGAGAGACAAAGTAATCAGGTTTTAACACGTTATGACATGTTTGTTTACACACGTTTCGCGCATGCTTTGTCAGTACCTACTATCTCAGGATTGTGCTATAAAGTAAGGAAAAAGTACACAAAATGTCCAAACGGAAATATAATATGAACTTTAAAAGACTGTTTTCTTTCTAACTCTAAAGAATGAACCAGAGAAAGAAAGTAGGCATTTGTTAGTCTGAGTATTCGTCCTCTCGAACTTCGATTTTCAGCCCCGGGTGTCAACAAACCAACTTGAACGTTCAACAGAGTCGAGGTCAAGGTTTGACAACCCCCTTCGTGGAACCTCCTTGATCAGAGTCAAGGGCGACCTTTAACCCCAAGGTCAACACCAGCTAGACTCAACCCTAACAAATAAGACATCCATCGCAAGGCCGTAATTGTGGTTCGTAAAAAAACAAAATGTTTATATCTTTCGTGGTATACCTGATCCGGCCGACGTTGTTCAGTTGTTTGCAAGATTAATAGATACTATTATGTTAATACAACTCTAACAAATAATTGCTAAAAATCCATTCATTTTGATCAAATTGTATTATTTTAATATCAATACTGTCTCGGACATATTAGATCATTAATTAATACATATTTTTTGTGTTTGCGCCGTTGTTTCCACATTTTCGCCGTTTCTACGCTCGTCAGGTAGGTCTATATTAGTCGAAAGCCTACCTCGATAAATCGTCCTCAATTCTTCACCTTTACAATACTACTGTATAAATTAGTATACAAATTAGGAGGTACCAATGTTTTCTTGCAATTTCTTATCTAAATTAACCAAAACTCAAAATATTCCCGAAACACACAAGGTAAATACGGATTTACCAAGCAATAAGTTTCCGAGTAGTTTGACCACAGTGTTATCACTTGTTAGGTATACTAATAGCTATAATATACATAATGTAAATTTGAAGTGTGTGATGTTATGTCAAAGATGGTGAGGACAATTCATTGCTTTGATCAAAAGTAACTTTCCATTTTCAAAACTTCACTAAGTAAAATCTATGCTATTATCGCAATTAATAGTCAGAGCCTTCCCTAAATAAGTTATTTATGTATAAACTTTTAACTATTAAACGTTAATATATAATAAGATTCATACAACCGCACCCCCGGAACATATCGATGCCCAAAAGGAAGAGGTAATGCCCTCCATTGCAAATATTTTCTTACACGGTCGCGTCAATTATAAAAGGGCAATGTCTTGGAAGAATGTATTTTAATTTAAGTAGAACAAGTCCTAGTCGCCAGCTAATTATTTACTACGTATTTGTTTACAAACAATAATTAATAACTAATTGCGTAATGATTTTTAACAATTAAACGGACGTCGTCTATAAAATAATACTTTGATCTTGATAATTATTAGATACCTAATCTACACTATATCTGTCTGAATTAGGATTAAAAACCTCATATATTTGTTTTATTTTACTTTATTTTTCTAAACAACATGTTACTAAGATAATTAAGAATATAGATGAACACGTGAATTTTATCTAAGATATCAGCATAGTTTATCTTTAATTACAGCATGCGACGTGTATATTTATTATTTACTGTCTCAAACCTAATTTTTTTTTTACTGATTTGTTTCCGCCAAATAACCCTTGATTAGGTAAGAAAAAACCGGCCTCTGTTGTGACTGAGTTTTCCTTTCAATACAAACCTCGGGAATTCCGTTTAACGCGCGGCGGATAATGCATGCACACACACACACAATCTCAGTGTTGATAACCTCGCAAGTCCCAACGGGCTAGCGTCGCCTTGCCCCTTGTATCGGAATAACCCGCGGAGGGGGGCAGGGTGGTTCACGCAACAAACATTCACTTCAAGTCGAAACCTGCACAAACATCACAGAAAGTTCATTCAAAACACTGAAACGCACACAACATTTATTTAACTACACTCCACAACATAGATAACACGTAAATTTCCCGAGACGGGGTTGGTGGTGTTGCCGCGTTAGCTCTATTAAGATTTTAAAAGGTTGATTTTTTCGAGAATTTTGCTACTTAGCCCAACATGAACCCAACTTCTAGCACGTCTAACTTAAAAAAAAATAGGTTATGATGACCTGTTACCGAGGATAAAAATATTGTTAGAATGTTTTTCCTTCTTCTTTCTATATTCGTTAAGCTATTCTTATTTATCAGTTTATATAAATTAACCTACTAATAAATGTGGCTTCTGTTACTATTTAATTAAAATAAATGATAAGAATATCTTTAAAATTACAGACGCGCCTTTACACGAATTATACGAATAATAACAATATTTGCGATGAATATTGTCGACTTTTTGAAAATTCAGTTGGCAACACTAAACTTTGCACAACACAGCTCTGGCGCTACGCACACATACACGGTTTTATCGCGCATGCGTGGGGACTTATATAAAAACGTTAGATACGTGTGTGCACATTATTGTGATCCAAACTTCAGTCGTATAAGCACGCCGGTCTGTTTAGAAAACCTTGTGAAATTATTGTGACATATCTCTCGAGTGGCGCCCTTGATATTTGTCGCAACCTGATAACGGGGAAAGCAAAGGATTTACGTGTGTGCAACGAAGTGTTAGTGAAAATTACTCGTTACGAGTTGGAATTAGCTAAAATTTGTGAGAAATTGAAAAGTGTTAAAGTGAGTGCAAAGATGTACAACGAGTCAGTAGTAACAGTAAAGACGGAGTCCTTCAGCGGTGTTGCTGCGAAAAGGTAATTAGGAGTTTTAATTATTTATGTATTAACAAATAAAATTATTTTCGTAATTTCTTTTACAAGTGAAAAGTGGCAATAAGGGTGGGAGGTTATTTCTGCGACGCTGTTTATTGTTTCATTGCATTATGAAATATCATTTCGATATCTTTAAACTGGCACATTAATAAAAATAACAGTTGTAGTAGTCATTGATGAATTAAATATATAATATCTCTACAATATCTAAGATCTTTAATTCGGTGTAACTTTTATTTTGTTTGGAAAAGCTTATTTTTTTAATGACAAAAAGAGTATAGTTCACTTGATGGAAGGTAAAAGACCTCAGTTATACGACATTTCAACTAGAGGCGCCAATGAATTATTTTAATGTTAAATTCTTTTTTTGCTAGTAGTAGCCAATGGATTCATGTTTTCGTTTCTCTTGTTGCAATCCTCGGTAGTATAGTGGTCAGTATCCCCGCCTGTCACGCGGGAGACCGGGGTTCGATTCCCCGCCGTGGAGAACTTTTTTATTTGTTTTTCTTAGTGCTTTTGCATCTGTTTTATACTTTTTTGTTTTTCTTACAGTCCCATTGGACAATGCATCAAAACAGTGCTCAGGCGAGCGTGTGCCGAGAAAAGGCTGACTAACGGACTTATGCCGGCTCTTCAGTTCCTTTCAAAGAACAGATGTAGCACTCTCTTCTGCATTCAAGCAGAGGCAAGGCCGGGGGACAGTGCCACCCATATGCAAGAGGTGCTCTTGCAGGCCTTTTGCATGGAAAATGATATATATACTATTAAGGTAAATATTTATTTTAACCATAAAGAATAATATATTTTAGATAATAATTTGTTTTAATAAGAACCTTTTTCTAAATAAAATGAGATGTTAAATTCTTAATAAATAAAACTTTTTTGTTTGTCTCCAGGTGGATTCAGAGGAAAAGTTAAAGAACTTACTCGGCTGTAGCAAAACCTCTTTGGACTTCAGCTGCGTCCTAATCCACTACCCATTTATGGATCCATTTAGTGACAGTCAAGAGATTGATCTCTCCATTCTTTCGGACGCCGAAAAAGACTTAATCGACCACTGTGAAACGCACTGGGGACACTCGCAGGTTCCGGTCATCAAATTGCCAGAGAAGTGAAGACAGACAAACTAAGATTTTTTGGAAAAAAAAAGTTTCGTTATAAACCATTTCGGTTTTCGCTTTGGCGTACAACGCCATCTAGTGTTACGTTATCGTATAAGACTTGTATAAATAACGTAGCATTTTACACTGTATATGGACGCCGCTCTGGCTGTACTCGATATTTAAGCGTTGTATAATATTTGACGGATTTGGAAGTGAGAAGATGATTTTATATTTTTGCCCTAAGAGATACATACTTATAAGGTTGATAACTGTTTTGTACATTTGTAGATTGTATAATATGGAAAGATGTAATAAAGTATAAGAAAAAAAAATGTTTTATTGTCTTAATATCTTTCGCTGTCGGTCCACTCACGGATGATAAAATCAACAGCTCGTTCACCGATCATAATGGAAGGGGCGTTTGTGTTCCCAGAGGGCGCCACTGGCATAATAGAAGCATCTATCACTCGCAACCTATCCACTCCATACACCTTTAACTCTGGGTCTACGACAGCAGTTCTGTCGCTCCTCGGCCCCATTTTACAAGTGCCTACCGGATGATAAGTGCTAGAAGTGAAAGTTTGCATCAAACAAATAAAATAATCTGTTGTCCCCCAGACTAAGTCATCGCAAGGGGGTATCGGCTCCTTAATAAAGAAAGCTCCAAGTTTCTTAAACGCTTTCGTGCTATCCAGAGTCAGTGCGAATTCGATACCACGCAAGAGAGGCAAGAAATCACTTTCGTCGCCAAAATAGTTTGGGTTTATCAGTGGATCACCGTAGACGTTTTCAGGATTCAAACGAATGTGTCCTCGACTCTTCGGCTTCAAATTCTCCGTACGTAGAGAAACACAATCGTAGAATGCAGTCGGTAGTGTTGAAACCTGAATATACGTGATCGGGTCTGAAAAGAACTCTTTACACGACGGTATAGCGTCGACTTGATACTCGACATCTGGCGCTTCGAGGCCGGCTTCGGATTTCAAAAACGCTATAGAGTTGACGGGCCCGTTGCCAGCCAACGGATTCTTTCTATGATCCGTTACAAAGAAGTCCTTAGTATATCTCAAGATGTCTTCGTTATTGGTCACAGTGGATGATGAATTCGTGTAACCGATAATGAGCCCATTGAAAGTCACGTGGTCGTGAAGATTGTTGCCAACGGGTAGATCCTGCAGGACAGGAATACCGACGTCCACCAAATGCTCTCTAGGCCCGATTCCGGACCACATCAGTACTTGTGGAGAATTTATGGAACCCGCTGAAACTATCACCTCCTTTTTTTGCTACGGCAGTCGAGAGTCGGCCTCGCCGTTCGTAGTGCACCCCATATGCTGTTTTGTTTCTAATTAGAATTTGTACAACTCTGGCGTTCGTTAGTACTACGAGGTTCTCTATTTTGTTTCGCACCGGTTCTATGAAGGCTTTATTCGTCGACCGTCTCACTCCGTTTATTACGAACGCTTGAGCTTGGTTAGAACCTTCTTGAAACGCACCGTTGTAGTCGGTCAGAGGCAGACCTCTTTCGATGAAGGCCGCCGTTAATATTCTCGACGGTACGTCGATATAGGGGTACCTAGCCACCGATTGCTCTCCAGTGAAGCCATGGTATCCTGGATCTACGGCGAGAGGATTCAGGTTTTGCTCTGATTTCTTGAAGAAAGGTAACACCTAGAATCGAAAAGATAGTAATTATTGCTTGGCAAATGTTTCCCCCTTGTCGTGCATTTGTATGTTTAATTACCTCTTCATAGCTCCATCCCTTATTGCCGAGGGCCGCCCAGCCGTCGTAGTCGTCTTTATTTCCTCTTATATATGACATTGAATTTATGGCGCTCGAGCCTCCCATTACCTTTCCTCTATAACACGAAATACAACCACAGTCAACCATCTATTAATTTAAAAACTTAAAAAACACCGTGCTTTGATACCTTAGATTAATTTATCGATTCTAATAATACTATAGGAAAAGTCGGTATGCACAATTTTACTGTACGTACAAAGATAATAAACCTTTGAATAATAGTACATTATGGTATAAGTGCGATAAGTTGAAAATTACAGCCGAGGCGATAATCCTAGTCCGAGCCATCGGCGAGGGCTATAAGAAAGCATAGGCTGTAATTTTCAAAGCGCACGTATGTCATACGACGTTTTATAACATATTTACGAGGAAATTAATAAAAACAATACAGCGAAAAGAAAAAGCGCGCGGAATTATTTTTACTTGTCCACAAATAAGCGCGCATCAACGTTTTTTTTAGGCAAAGGTACAAAAACAGCCAGTATTACTAATAAAGTAAATTAATATTGTTGTGTTTTTACAGATAAATGGTTGTAATTTATTGTCAAAATTAATTAAATTAAAGATTTTTTTTTTGTTATATTTTATTTCCCAAATATGGCCACTTTCTTGACATAAAACCTCCTTTGCTAAGATTTTTAAAAGTATCGTTCATTTTTAGACGGAGTATCTTAAAACTTTAGTTTAAAAAAACACATGCCTCTTACATTACATTATCGCACAAGTACGTAAGGAGATACATTACGATATTAAAATTGGTGTAATTACAACCACTTTACGAGCAAATATGTTATAAAACAATATTTAATTTTGCCTACCTTGGCCACGTGCATCTTCCCTTCGTAGCAAAACAACTCTTCCCATTGGGCTCAGTTGTAAACTGCCAGTCAATGCTGGAGCCGAGCAGGCTCGTAGATAGGCCGGGGATGGAAGTGACGTCTGGTTCTTCGCCACCCGCTTCTAAGAGAAGCACCTTAAAGATAACATAATCGTTATTAAGGTATTATGTTATTCGTATATTGAAGTCGTACGTGTTCGCGGGTCGGAATATATTTTGCGCCTCATAGTAAAAAAGCCGTGCATCACAAAGAATTATTAAAGTAACAGTGCCTATTTCAATAATTTTAATTCGTAATTGCAAAGTCCATCGAATTGTATTGATTTCTAATCATGGATAAGAAGACAAATACTTTAGCTGTATCTGCTGTACTTAACAATTTTAATATATTATACTTAGGTATTGTACCTTTGGACCCTGACCGCAATAAAGAAATAATCATCGAAAATTTTAACTTAATCACTACTGCAAGTGGTAATAAATCTTACGCAGGAAATACCGAAACAAATTGAAATAAAGTTACAATTGTTGGTTCCGTTTTAGGATTCATGTGTGCTAAACATCCTGTATTAAACACGATATACGTTTGCACTTTGTGTTCGAGCCAATTTGTTGTCTTTTGTTTTTCCAATGCCGTTTTAAAGTGTCACGGCCGTTTTTAATTACGTAATTGAACGAAATGAAAACTTATACTACCGCAGTAATGAATTTTAATACAAAGTTCACACGAAAATCTAAGATTTCCGCAACACGACTCAAAAATGCTTAAAAAAGAGATTGCTACAGTATTCGCCACTCACCCTCCATTTGAAATTCTCACTTAATCGTTTTGCGACCACGCAACCGGCCGATCCAGCACCGACCACTATAAAATCGAATTCTTCGAAATTTCTCAATTCAGGCTCCTCATCTTCCCGAACTCTATCGACAGAGTCTCCATACAAATGAACTAAGAGGTTCAGGAAAGCGTAACCGAAAGAGGAACAAGCCGTTATGTTCGTTTGCACGGGACAAACGCTCGATAGATCCACAGGCTGCCAAATCATGTTTTAAAACTACGTTTGTTCATAAGGTGGTTTGAACTCCTGTAAAATTATATATGTAATAGGAAAAACGTAGAAAAACGCATGATTTAAGTCCACACTTAAATAAGATCTCATTGAATTACTAACCGGATTTGTGTTAAGACGAATTGAAAAAATCTAAATTCCAATAAAAATCAAACCTGAAACGAAAAACAAAAACTCTCTTTGTTATAATGGTTCTGCCTATTTCACGTCGTTAAATATTTAAAGAAAGTGACAGTTATTTAGTCGTGAGTTTAAAATTAAAGTAATAATCCAAAAGTAACAAATCGATAGCAAAAATTAGGCTCATAAATTACTATAATCAATTAATTGAAATTTAAAAAGATCATTTCAAGTTCTTAATCACTAAGCCTTAAATATAAATAACGGTTAATGTATTGTTGAATTTTGTAAGATAATAATAATACATATATATAAATATACATGTGACATACCTGCCTATTGAATAAATTTTCTGTAAGGTGAAAAGTTTGCGGCTTTGGCTTTTTTTAGTAGTTATATATTATTACTGGAAATAGAAGAAAGTGTCTACTTAATAAAATCAACATTTAGTTATTTATATAAACAAAAGTTATATTTAACTTTGCCTTATCACGTAATGGTTATTATCATTAGGATCTAATCGAGTTTCTTTTAGTCTACCGACACTTCCACGACGGATTTTAAAACAGAAATAAATTAGAAATACTTACTTAGAAAAAAACAATTCATATAAATAATATAAACTAATTTTGGTTAAATATATATGAAAAACAAGTTATTACAGTAAATTAGAGTTTTATCTCACCTGTAATTACCTCGTATTGCCCGCTTTGTGCATTTATTCAAACTGATTAGACTGAGGTTAGTTTTAATAGTTTGCTGTTTGAATTCTTTTGTTGATTGAATAATTAACTATATAAATATATAAAAATGCTCATTAATTTGTGTTAAGGTGCAAAAATTATTGTATGTCTATGTGTACGGATTCAGTTTATATTAGTGAGATAAAGAATGTAAGAAGCTACTGGATATGAAAGTTTATGATAATTTGCACATAGTCCCACGTAAGGACTATGTCGAAAATGGCCATTTTTTTTAATTACACGTATGACTTCAGATGGTCCATGCGCTCATACCAATATAATTATTATTTTTTTAATTGTATATATTTTACTAGATACACAAAACGTATATGAGAACAAGCTTAAAATTATTATGGAATTAATATCGAGATGCATTTCGGTCTTGTCAAACTTAACGTCATTCACGGGTGATTCCCCAGTTAATGACGTGAAGTTTAAATATTTTATTACGGGTTTCGGAAGCACAGCAGTTAATTAATTATATCGACGAAGTTAATGAAGGTAAGTAAGTGTTGATTTATATTATTATATTTTATACTATAAATGTTATTAAAACTTGCTTGTTTTCTTTCATATCTTTCATTAGCTATAAAGTAGAAGCTGGCGTCAAAGATTTTCGATTCTGGTCGATATGCCAGGCCAGAATCGTAATCGAATTGTTTTTTTTATGTACTAGTATGTGAGAAATAAGTCTAAGATTAGATGTATGCCAACGAATTTCTGGATAAAGGCCATACCCAGAACAAGGCAGATAGCGTTCATGGTGCACTTACAGTGAACGAACGGCAAAGAACAAACTTATTTACATACCAGATGAATGGTACATTGGTTCGCTGGCGAAACAGAATGGTCCGCCTAACGCGGTCATAGAGGCAGGCCGAGATTTTTTTTTTATAACAAACTTGGCTTCATACTAAAAACGGGCTTGAAGATACAGCTTCAGAAAAAGTGTCGTGGAATTAAGTTAAAGAAGTAAAAATTCAAGGGACATATCCAGACATTATTGAATTTAAATATGATTTTTTTTTTAATAATTTGAAACAGACAAGAGGGAGAAAGAAGAAAAAATAAGAACGTATATAGAGAACCTGTACAAAGGGCCACATTCTATTGCGGAAGTGAAGTGAAAAGACTTGTAATAAGTCTTTGTAATACTATAATTCCATTCGATTATTCTAAAGAATTATCATTATTTCGATAAACTTGAGATGGTAAAGAAGAACAGCGTGGTAACGAAGAAGATTAATATAAATGCATTTTATTAATAGTCTATTTCCTACTTAGAATACTAGGTAATAACAATAATCGGTCTGTTTAAAGCTGTGATTGTAATAATTTTAATTGTAAAAAGAAATGCGATTTTAATGTTTAGTTCCTATTTCAATAAGACTGCTAATAAAAGCAATGGTAAATTGCAGAAAGAATGTTTTTACTTTTATTATACTTTTCCGACCTATGAGGTAAAACCACGTATAACCAGTTATGTCTTTATTAAATTTAATTAATGTTTTATTGCTTAGAGATCTAAAGATGTTTAAGGCATCGTTATAAAGTAATAATTTTATTTTAAGTTTTTAGAAACATTTTACTAGTATTTTGTTATAAAACATTGCATTATTTCTTCCTACGTATAGGTTTTTTGTCTGACATGGCGTAATTTCAATAACAATGTAGAAACAGTTATCTGCCATTTTTTAAAAGAAATCCTACATTAATTAAATATGTGTAAGTGTAACTATTAAAAACTTTCTTAATTCAACTAAACAATACGCAAAAAATATATGTTTAACTGGAAATATATTTTTTTCTAGAGCGATTATACACTTTCATTTCGCTCTCCTGTAAACCTTAGTTTTAGACATGTCTTTTTATACGTAGGGACCGTCGATCTGTTCCTCTTTCGCCCCAAAACTGCTGTAAAAAAGGAAAATTTTATTTGAATCCTAATTCTGTCGTTATTTTTTTAAATCGACTTACATTTTTTTTTACAATAATAATATTTAAAAACCATTTCAGTAATTCGACTCACTGACATCAGCAGTCGTGGCCGAGTGGTTAAGGCGTCTGACTCGAAATCAGATTCCCTCTGGGAGCGTAGGTTCGAATCCTACCGGCTGCGAATTTTTTTATATTCTTTAACCTATAAAACACAAAATTAGTTTCGGTTTGTTGACTTTTTTATTGGCATAGTCGTTCGTAACTATGTAGTAGATTTTTTTTAAGAAGACTTATCTAAGAAGTTAGATTTATCATTGATCAATAATAAAACTTTCCTTGTGAACGTGTAAAAGATTTAATTCGAATGAAAAATAACTAGCATTAAAATATTTTAGGAATTAGATATAGTTTAAGCTTCATTAAAAAATATTTTATTTTTAAATGAGATTCTATAAAAACATATTCCTAGGGGACACCCGGGTTTGAACCGGGGACCTCTCGATCTGCAGTCGAATGCTCTACCACTGAGCTATATCCCCGATAGACGTGAGAGGGTAAAATAGAGGTTTACATGAAGAATGTATCTTTCAAAATAACATTTCTTGCATTTAGGAATTGATGTAAAAGAAAAACGGACTACGTACGAGTCGGACTTTCACGCGTCCTATTTGATACACACATGTCATATTCTAACCTGTTTTTTTTAGTTGTTTTCATTCTTTAGCTAACTTGTATCATTTATAGTACACATAGGAACAGACGAAAATAGAGGATTGTTTGTATACAATTCCTTTTATTTATTTATTTTATTAAAATAGTACCGGTTATTTATATCTATCAAAAAAGGCAAAACAAGCGTTTGTTCTCTTGTATTTTTTTTGTTTTAGTATTTGTTGTATCATAAAAATTTAAGCTCTATTTTGTGAACATTTTAAGTCTCTCGCTAATGCGCTTCTTGGGGTACCGTCAAGGGACAGACAACTAAGTTGTAATTACCATAAGCCGAGCATGTTTTTAAAGTCTTGATATAAATCCAAGGGAAATGTTTGAAAAAAAAATAAAAAAAAGTGCGCCCCCGGGTGGGCTCGAACCACCAACCTTTCGGTTAACAGCCGAACGCGCTAGCCAATTGCGCCACGGAGGCGATGATGACCTAATTCCAAACGCTACATAGTTTTCGATAACTTTGAATAGCCTATGATTATCATCTATCGTTGGTAGATAAGGCTGTGTCAAACGAAACACAAAACGATATTAACCTACACTATAATATACTAGCAGACCCGGCTACGCGTTGCTGTGGCTGAAGTTATTGTTTATTTGTTTTTAGCAGTGCCATCTATCGATTACTTACTCAATCCATTGTAACTGTCAATTATTTATAGACAAATAATTTGCAGTTAAATAAAATGGCGACTATAATTAAAGATCTAAACTATCCTATGTCTCAAGTAGGACCAGACTGCTCACGGTGTGCCAATTTAATTTAAAATCGGTTCAGTAGTTTAGGAGTCCATAGCGGTCAAACATCGTGACAGGAGATTTATATATATAAAGATAATACCTCAAGTAATATTAATAAGTTAATATTATCTGATATATATAAAATTCTCACAGTTTTAGTCACCCTACGCCTCTGAAACAGCTCGACGGATTGAATTTAGCGGATGAAATTTTATATGTATGTAATTTATTCAGTAAGCCTAAGAATCAGATAGGTACTATCTATTTTTCATACCTCTATATGAATTTTTTAATCATTTATGGTAAATGAATCTTTGGTGTTTTGTTAAATCCTCGTCGTTCACAGCGCTCTTTACTTCCATTCTTATGCCGTTCACATACATTCGGAATTCTGTAGCGGAATTTTGATTCAATATCGAACGCATTAAATCCATACAACATCTATGAATCAGCCACAAATGTACTTACAGTTTTTTTCCTTTCGAAATTGAATAGATATTCGTATATGCTATTAATTCGTATCGAAATTCCGAATGTGTAAAAATCCCAAGAAATAATTTTTATAACAACTAACGTTTGCTGGGTTAGCTAGTGTACATACGTATTACGAGTTATGGTTAGTTATTCAAGAATTATCCTACTACTACGAAATTTTGATATTTACTTCGACTCCCGTATGGTCTAGTGGCTAGGATACCTGGCTTTCACCCAGGAGGCTCGGGTTCGATTCCCGGTACGGGAATACTCTTTTATATCTTTATGATAAATAAAGTCAAATCACCTATTTATAATTGACTAGAAGTGCCCGCGACTTCGTCCGAGTCCCCGTCGTTATTGCAGTTTTAGTTAATCTTAATGATACATATTCCGAAATTGTTTTAGATAATTTAAAGAGAAACTATTCTCTTTCGTTAATCGTTTTGTTTTCATATATCCCAGTGTTCCTTGTTTTTATTGGTGGTAGCGTGATGTTTCGTAGCTTAAGCCTTCCTTGATAAATGCGCTAACCAACACAAAAATGATTTTTACCATTCAACATTAGCTTTTTAAATTAGCTCGTTCAAACAAACTCTAGAGCTTTACAATATTAGTACATATAGATTATCAATTGTAATATACTGATTATTGTAATTGTAGGATGTATGGTATTTTTATTGAGTACGTTCCGTCACCACGCTGCCTTAAATCATCTGAAACATCGTGTTGTTGTTAAGCATTAGCACAGTATATACTATATAATATTTCGGGTGTAAGCACCGAAAAGTTTTATAAAAAATTAAAAACATAACTTTTATAATAAAGTAAAAAGTTTTGTCAGAAGTGGGATTCGAACCCACGCCCTCAGAGAGGACCAGAACAGCTCAGACCTACTTTAGTAGGCAAGGATTCCCTTGAGTCTGGCGCCTTAGACCGCTCGGCCATCCTGACAGATATTATGTTTTTTGAAATTATGGTACAAAACTCGTGATAGGTTTGACTTTTGTATTAATATCCATTATACGAATAATATTTATTGTACTTTGGAAGTATTCTAATATAGTAAACCCATTATGAAATGTAAAACGACATAAATGCATTTTTTCAAGTTTCTTACACTTAGCGCCATCTTCTTCAAAATTTTAAATTAAATGAACTAAAAGGGATTTTTTATTAGGTAGTTAGTAATTGTTCTTTACAACACAACTAGATGGCTCTGTAAGAAATCTTTTAATTTTGTGCAATCTTTAGTCTACGCCCAAACCTGGTTAGGAAATTCATTTTTAAAGTAAAGGCAAAATGTGAAATATTAATCATTTTGTAATAACATTCCGTGCGATTTTTTAATAAGGCATAAATATATTAATTTGTGTTGATGGTGGCATAGAATGCCTTCTTGCATCTGGTTATTTATAAAAAGTAATTATTTATTGGGCATTTAAAGAAATATACCTACAATATGAACAACCTTATAATATCCTCTGTATTTAACATACTTATCAAAAGCCACCATTGTATAGTCTATGGTTGTTTTTTTAATGTCATCTGTTGATGTCAATATAAGATACGAGGTCAAATAATAAACAAAAACTTGTTAAAAAGCAATAAGTTTAAAAATATTTTATGTAACTTCACATACTTTAACCCAGAAGATGGACGTAGAAGAAAAGATAAGGGAAGATATGAAATTACTAGGATGTTGTAACGAACAGAAAATATCACTAGCCTTTCATTTGTACGTTAACCTTGTTGACGAACAACTCATGTACGACACAGAGTATTGTTACAATAAGGACGTCGACACCCTGTATATTGTGGCGAGGCCTGATAAATCTCACAAAATGAATATATACGTGCCAATACCGTCTTCATTTGAACTTTCTTTCGATTATATCAATAAGCTACAGGATAACCTGTGTACCGTTGAGACCGGGCCCAGTATTAATCTAGCTATTCTGGAGGAGGACTTTACTCTAGTAATTTACTCTCTAACCAAGGGTATCCAATCTCGTCCCAGTGAAGAAAAGACAGCAGAGTTTAAAATGAAAGAGGAGAGAAGGACGTTTATAAACAGTGAGTTGAAAAAGAACAGAGATAGTATTTTAAATGATGCACTGAATGGTGGTTTTGTTGATGATGATGACTGTCAAATAATAGACTAAATGTATATAGAAGATTCTGGTGGTATGTTGATTATGGCGGAGTTGTGGTTTCCAGATTTTAAAATATACAAAGTCTAATACCTCATGATCTTTTTTGTGAATACAGACTGTATGAAAACCCTCTTATTTTTAAATTTATGCAGTATAATATTGCTTAGGGTGCTGAAGTGGTACCTTGTTTCCCTGCTAAGACTATAGGGTTTAGTTTTTTAGTTAATCCGAAGTAAACCACAAATTTTTATGGAACAGTTTTCTGTGAGACATTTGATTTGTAATTGTAATTAGTAGTACTTGTAAGGAGGGATGTAGGTACTGCCTTAAAGTGTGTAAAAATATTAGTTGTAAGTGAAAAGCTTTAAATACAATAAATCTTTCTTTTATTTTTATTAATTAACCATTGATTTTGTTAACCATGATTGATTTAAAAAATACCTTTGGGTGGGGTACAGACACATTTTAACTTGTGAGCCCGATTTGAGGTTTCCGACAAATAAAATAATAAATAGAGTACATACAATCATATGCCTAAGCTTATGCTACATTGATTACAATCAGTCACAATACAAAAGTATAAAATTATAAAATCTTAGGTTAATATATTACACAGTTAGCCTACTTGACACTAACCTTAGTTCTTTAAAGTTAGGTTATCTTAAAATAAACTGATAAATTGTGAGTTAATCTGAAGGAAATTGTCAATGTAGAAGATTCTATTTTATTAGCTTGTTTAATATCCTTTACACATTCAGCTTTACACATTTCTTTAACCAACCTTGCTTAAGTTAAAAATAAATGAAACCAAGTAAAGAGTGAAAACTATTTACAGGATCTCATTGTTAAACATCTGGCCTTATCATAAAATATAACAAAACTATCGAGACTGAATCTAAGTAGTTTGGGGGAAGCGAGAGTATTGTATAATAACGCCCGATGCATTGTATCAGTGTCCTTTCACAATTTCACTAAAACACTATGTTTGAACTCACACATTCTATAATAATTGCTTTGTTGTCTTTATGCATTTACCTCTGAAGCAAATTTCCGTTTCGTGAGACACCTCTGTTGACATTGACGTACTTATGACATTGGATGGATCCATATAACTTGATGTTGTAAGAGACTTATCGGTAGCATTCCTCGTAACAAAGTGGCTTTCAGTTACAACCGAGGTCTCTGTCACAGTTTCTGCTGTTATTTCCTCAGGTATATAACTGTCGGTCGTTCCCTTTGTAGACTCTACATCGTACACTTCTGGCGTGGTCGTTGTGTGTAGTTCTTTATCCACAGGTTTTCCCGCTTGAGAATCTTCATTAGACGTCATTCCAAACAAGTATTCCATAAAGTTGAAGCCATCAGATCGATCTATTGTTGGTTGAGTAGCTTCCGTGTAAAAAGACGCATCGTCTAATGTCGGGTCTGGTGAACCCGTTCCCCAATCCATGTCTCCAGGATTAACACTGGTCGCACTCGTTTCTTTCATTATACTGGGTTCCGTTTCCGATACTAATTTCGCAGCTTGAACAACGGATTGTCGACTGGCATTAATTTTAGGTATATCAATCTCAGGGGTCATATCCAGTATTGCTTCATCATTTTCAAAGAAGTCCTTGATAAATTGGTAACTAGGCTTATACGTAGTTGCCTTTATTTTGATTTTATCGTCCTCATTAGATTTTCCGAAGGACGCTTTCGGTACGCTTTGCCCAAGAGTGTTGACGGTGTTTGAATAATATTGCGATTCAGCTACCTCGAAGGAGTCAGTTATCGGACGCACCTTAACCTTTTTCCAGAATCCACGACGACGGCCTTTAGGACTGGATTCTTCCTGTAAAGAAAAAAAAGGTAAAATTTGCAAATGAGAAAATAAATTAAAATAAAGCGACTTAACTCAAACTACCTCAATAGAACTCTGAGTTTGACCCTCCGTTACAGATGGATTGGTCGTCGTCTCTTCTTGCACAGGTGTAGTCGATTTAATGGAATAATTGTCACCCGAAGAAATAATTTTTTCAGGAGGTATCTCACCAATCTCTCCCCCTTTGTGTTTCATAACCTTATTTGTATATTCGTCCTCGTCTTGCTCCTCCAAACTTTTCATTACTTCTTCTAACATACTCTCAAATGTAGATGAAGTCTCACTTACTTCTGTTTTTGAGACTTTACTTTGTTCAACATAGGCCTCAAGTGTGGGGGGGATATCTGCTATTTTTTTATTAACTCGGTTGTTTTTGTTTGTTGCCGGTGTTACAGAAATTAAAATATCATCGTATTCATTCCCTGCTGTTATTATTTCCAGTTCATCATCTTTGGGTTTCGAATCTAATTGTTCGACTTTACTGTCGTCGATAAGTTCGTTTGGGTTATATGGTTTGAATGAATCCTTAGAAATCTTAGGTGACCATTTGTCGGAATCAGGAGTAGCGTATTTTGGTATATTTATCGAATAATTGGACTCTTGGTCATCGGTATCGCTTTTGACTTCTTCTTGTTCGGGTTTCTTATTATACCTCTCAGAAAGCTTCGTTCTATGGCTATATCTATTATAAAGTGAACTCCTCGTCGTTGTAGTTGAGCCTTCTGTCTGAATCTCGGGTTTTTCAGTTGGCTTGTCTGTCGGCCGTCTACCTCGGAATCTATTCTTTACTTCATATGGTCTTCTTGTCACCGTACTTTCAGTAGTAGTGGTCGTGTAATTAGGTCGTTTTCTTCTGAATTGATTCCGTTTATTTACTACTTCTGTTGCTATTGAACCCTCCGTGGATGCTTCAGGCTTGTATACCGGATGTCTGTCGTCATCGATTTCAGGCCGCGAATGAACAGGTTTAGTTTTTAGGTCGGCTTCAATTTCTTCAATACGCATTGTTGTGCGTCTTCGGTCAAAAGCAGGTCGATACGTAATGGGCTGTTGTGTAGGCTTTCTTCTCTCCGTTTTTGTCCTTGATGATTCTGTAGATGCCTGATTATATTGCCTAATTAGACCCGGTCTCACACGCACCCTATTATAGGTAGGCGTTGTTTCAGTTACCTGCTCCATTGATTCACTTTCAATAGCTTTAGTAGTTTCAACCTGTTGTATTGAAATCATTTCTTCTCCTTCAGCTGGATGTTCATTATTAGCGGAGTAATTAGGAATATTTTGTTCAGTAACCGGGCTAACTGGGCTTGTTACCTGGCCCAGACTTTCTTCTGCAGGATGTTCTTTAATATTGTCAAAAGATATAGGTGGTGCTACACTACTTCTAGCTTGATAAACATATTCTTCATTTTGATTACGAGAAACGTACAAATTATCATTTTCTGCAGCAACATCCTTAGGTGTGATATCTCTATCTAAATCAATATTATCGCGCTCAGTTATGGACACTTTGTCATTAGTATAAGCATTTTCAGTGTCATATGATTTAAATTCATCTACTGAATTCGTAACATGTTCCTTTGGACTAGGTTCCGTTATAGCCTCAATGTCTACAGTACTCGTGCGTTCCATCAGGGTAACAGGATAATTTTGGTGTAAAACATCTCTCTGATACGCTAAGTCATCTTTTTGTTTTGGCTGTTTTTCAGCAACATCTTCACTAGTTTTAGGTCTATAATGGATTCGGCCTCTCGTTCGACTAGTTGCTTTTGTAGTGCTTTCAGTTAATTCATTCTGAGGTTCTTTGACTGCTTTCTCTGTTGTGCCTCTATTGTCGTATCTCGATTTGTTCAGAGGTTTTCTTTCTCTGTAAGGTCTTCTTGTTACTGGAGCGCGTGTTGTGTAGTCATTAGAATCCGATCTGGCCGTAGTGTATCGAGGTCGTCCTCTAATTCGTGGCGGTATTCGTCTGGTACTGGGAGCAGTTGTAGTGGTTGTGGAACTAGTAGGCTCAGTAGACTCAATATTTTCGTTGATGTATTGCGAATCATACTGTTGCGGTTGTACTTTCGCAGATTCATAACCATTCAAAGTAAATTCTTCATTATTCTTTTTCGTTTTTATATTTGACTCATCGATTTGTTTTAATTCCGAACTTTCATATGTCGATGGAGTGTTTATACTAGTGTCATGTTCCTTAGGATAGAAATCATCCCCTAGATTTTTTTGGTTTTGTGTGACCGGTGTTGATTCAATTTTGTTAAATGACGAGTAATCTCTTGTAGTATATGTCGGCCGCCTAGAGGAGAGTGTTTCAGATTCGTAATGAATTTCAGGAGAATAATTTTGAACATAGTTTTGTGTATATCTTTGTTGAGGGCTTTGCGTCTGTACATTATTAATGGTGGAGGTTGCTTCAGTTGATGAAATTATTGAAGCTTGTGTCGTTGAATGTGCCGACGTTCCTGGAGTAGCATTGGGTTCCTTGTACTCCTCAAAAAAGTTTTGATAATCCACTGGGGTGTTAAAATGGAACGCATGGTTAATTGAGTATGGATTATGAGTTTCTAAAAGTTGACTCGGATACGTCGAAGGTTTAGTTGTTGTAGAAAGCGTTGTTCTAGGGGTAGTTGACGTTTCTATATGTGATGCAATGTTCTGTGGTTTTACTCGTTTAGATCCGTCATTAACTTCGCTGGGGAAATTTACATATTGCGATGGATTGTACTGATCTCTAAAGTTGCTTATAAAATAACCAGGCTTTGCAGCGCCATTGGTATTTTGTGTCGTTTCTTGAGGGGAAGCTGGTGGTGCCAAGGTACTGACACTTTGCTGTTCGATAGAGTAAAAGTTTTGTTTATAATTAGGTTGTATATTCACTTTAGGTGACGCTGTACTGTAGTAGCTAACTTGAGGCTTCTGTGTTACTATATTCTGTTGCCGATATATTTGAGGTCTTACATATGGATTTTCGTATGCTTCAGGAACGGTGTGTGGCGGGGAAGGTGTGTCCCTTATTTGTGAATTGATTACCACTGACCCTACGTGTGGGGAGGGAAATGGAATTTTAGCGAAGCCTTGTGGCGTGTTATAGCTCAGCGGAGCCACAAAGAAAGGTAGTTGACGCAACTTCTTATCAACATTTTCTATGTTCGATAAATATGGTAATTCAAATTTTACGAAGTTTTCTGGAGGCGATAAGTTTGATGGACCAATGAATACTTTTGGTGCGTTTTGGGGATTGATTGAGTCCAATACCGGTACTGTGTTAGCATTTTTGAGAGACACTAACACGTCTCCGACTTTCACGTTATCATCTCTTTTATCGGGTGACAAGAATATTGCTAGAGGTGGTTGGTGGGGTTTGAGCTTTTTTGGTTGGGGCGTTGTCGAAGAAACAATTGGGAAAGGTGAAGACAGTGTTGTGTACTTTGAACTTTCGCGTTCAAAACCAACTAATTGTCTGTTGAAGTCGTTCAAGGATTCCTGAGAATTGAAGGACTCTAGTGGCTTAGGTAACGGCCTCTGAAATTCCGGAGCAAGATTTTGGCGCAGAGGATTGATACGTGGACTTTGGTTGTAAAAGTCAGTGTTGACGAGTTGCGAGGAAGTTATCGGACTTCTAAAGTTAAATTGTCCTCTATTCAGTGATTCCACTGGAACATAAAGTAATTGAACTTCCTCTTTTTCAGATTTTGGTTTGTTCTGTAGCATGGATTCCTTGGGCCTTTCGAAACTATCAAACTTAACTTTTTGAAGCGTCGGAGCCTTCTTCTTCGGCATACCCATTTCGCTTATATTCTCTATCTGATAGCCGTCAACAAACTTAGGCGATTCCGGCTTTAGTTTAGGGGGAAGACCGAGAAAAGGTTTAACTTGTGACTGAGACGGTTTCGCGAAGCTGTCGAACTTCACCGGTGGTATCACCGGCGGTCTCGCTTTGATTTGTGGAATGCCATCAAAGTTAAAATGAGGGGAGACAAATCCTTGGCTCAAGGGAAAGTTTGGTTGTTGTAGACCGAATTTCAATCCTTGGCCGAAGCCCTGGTCCGTCAGGTAATTTTGGGGTGCTGACGGAACCGCTTGAAGGTACAACTGTCTATTTGGTTGCCCATTAAAGATCGGTTTAGGTGGAAAATCTTCTTGGCTAAACGCACCGGACCTCGTGAAGCCCGGGAACGGTTCCGAGAGAATTCTCGGTTCGGCGATTGCTTGGCGTCTGATCTGCAGCGGTTCAGGTTCTAGGGGCCCCGGCAACGGGACCCAGTCGCTGATGTCGGCTGTATATGAGCTTAGTTGGCGCGACCATCGTGTTTTTTCTTTTCCCTCCGACGACAAGGCCAATAGAAGAATGCATCCCAGCACTTTGTGTGCCATCTGAAATCAACGATAAGTTAATTACTTATAAGATCTACGATATTTGGTGAGGCATAAATATGTTTTTAAAGTATACTTTATTATGATTTGATTTGATTTGAAAGACCAGTTACAAAACTATTTTCAACCTGTTTATAAAAAAAAACTTGTTACTGTAGTACCTACATACTAGTCCGCCAAACTATTGTTGTAGGCGCCCATATCTTGTCTCGATTTGTTAAACAATAGCTTGAAAAGAACTAAATTTAGACCGTATTCAGGTTGCCATTGTAACGGCGCGCTATTACGCAATCTTAATTATTTATGTAACCCGTTGTACCGATTGCCCTTCTGTTCGCTTTTAATGGCATTTGAATTAAATGCGTGTGCTCTGTAACGCGCCGACACATTCTAGTCGTCGACGTTCCCTGTGTGGGACGCGGCAAAACTATTGATCATAATAACATTAAGCTTTAAAAAACATTGCATAAGGATAAGCAAAATACAAAAAAGTACGTGCGAGTCTTACTAGCGCCCTAAGTAAAAAACAGGTGTTACGAAACCCAAATATGACCTCTAAACTAGAATAGGTCTAAAGGGCGGCTTTATTGCTGGTAAGCGATTTATTCTGCACAATCCCAAATGAAAGGAAGATATACGAAAAACGTAAAGTAAATGAAAGAAATATACCAAAATATATAATTAGTTGAATAATTATTTAAACTCGTTAATAATTTAATGTAATAATGAACACGCAAAGTATATTTCGCCGAGACGCGATTATCCATACTCCATATTGGCTTATCCGGCAGCGAAAGTGCTTAATGGAGAGAAAACGTCAGGGAAACTCGAGGTCTATTTGCTTTTCATTCTCTGTTCTTGCTCAAATTGTTACTGCACATTTCAATTACTAGTAAGTAGACATGAAGTAAATACAAGGAACACATCATTTTTGTTATCAGGATCGTGTCCCATTTGTCTGTCTATTGAAATGCGACTTCAGTCGGTTTCTCCATGTAACGTCGGTATGCGGATACAAAATATTTTTCAGGTGCACTCCATTCAGATGAGTGCGTGAGGCCACACAACCGTGAAAATATCACGCTTACGACAGCGAACTATGCGATGATGTGGGTTTTTATGAATAGATGAATGTATTGGGAACATTATCACATTTTATCTAAAGTAGGCACTACACTGACGTATGTTATTCACTAGCCGATATGAAGTATCTCGACCAAAATTTGATAACAAAAAAAACGTTTCTTATAATTGGTAATCTTAGAGATTGACGTATAGCGTCCAAGACATTTTTTAGATTATTTAAAGAAAAATTATTCTCTCATACATATTTTTGGGCGTTTTCGCAGCGCACGCTGCACCCTAAACTTCCCACTTATTGGTAGAAGCATGGTGTTTAAACCTTAAGTCTTTCCCGATAAATGCTCTAACTAACAAATAGAATTTTTCAATTCGAACCAGTCGTCCCTGCGATTAGCGCGGTCAAACAAACGCAACCCAAGTTGAACATTATAATATAAGTATAGATGTAGGTATAGCACGTGAAGCTAAATTAGTGGAGTCTAGTTTCCTCCACCAAGGCTTTCCACTGCTTGCACATAAGTGCATCGTGTAGGCAACGTTCACATTTTATGCAAAAATACCACTTTAAAATCGAAATTCACGCCGATCAATCTCTTAATTGCCAAACTCGTCGAATTTAGCCTAATTTTTTGTTCAGCATACACTTCGCCTAGTTCTCGATCATGCCTCGCGTTCATTTACTGATAATAAATAGCAGGAAGCGGCCATTTTGCATTTCAACGTGTAGCTCAATTTAGTAAATCAGTGTCAAATATGTAGGCCTTTTTGCGTCGCATGCGCAGAAAACATGACTAACTCTTCCAATTAGCTACATCACCATTTCGTAGCCTTAAAGAGATTATCCATAATTAAATAATTTGAAAATTAAGCAGTAATGGCTTATTAATCTATTTTTAATATTTAGGCGACATATGTCACAAGTACTTATAACAGTGTATTGAAGGTAGCTTACGAAAAATGTAATAAAGCGACTTCTCACTTGGTTTAAAACGGCGAAGATTTTGCCGCGTTCGGGCCATTCCTGGGAGTTGTTTAAGCGACAGAGACAATGTACAATGCGTATTCCGATACCACACTTCCTATAATAGTGAAACCTCCACAACGCGACACCCACAGCAGACACAACGACTCAATATTACCTATTATTACAACATTATTTACATTTTGTGTCCAACAGCAATTTTTACAAGTCTTTAAATTCCGCTGGACTGAAAGATATTTTAGGAACACAAATAAAACCGAGCCGAATTCATACTGTAAAATCTGGTTATTTTTTTTAAATAAAACACTATAACGGTTTCAAAAGCGATATATGCTAGTTACACTTATTCGAAAATGTATTTCAACTACGGCCCAAGGTTTCGGATGCTTTGCAGCCGTGGTCACGGGGAGAGGGAATATAATTTTTAAATACGTAGGTAACTAATATATATCCGTTTTAAATAAAGTGTTTTATTTAAATGTGTACTACTCGCGTAGACTAGGCAGTATTTATTAAAATTCAATCCAACTCATAATAAATACAAACATTTTGCGGCACTTTCTATATCGAGAAAATAGTTCAGATCTATCGTGCGCTCGAGTTGAAATTAAGCAAAGCTACGAATTACGACAGCGACGCGTCATTGCGTATGTCGGTCGACGACAAAAGGCCCCTTTGCTGTTACTTATTAAACAGAACTGCTTCAGGGGATAAGTAGATTAGGCGCTGTCGAGACACGCGTAGCCACGCAGTGGAACGAATTGCGACAAACCAACTAACGACTGTAGTCCTAGGTCCCATTCAGAGGGTTCGTTGTGAAGGCGTACTCGGGTCAAGTCGCATTCATGTGGGTACTAAGTATTGGTTTGAGACAATTTAAGTTAAGTATGTACGCTTAAATGTCGCGCCCCGCCGGGGCAAACGCAAGCAAAGAAACAACTTAAAATACACACGTATGAAAGTTTAATAAAAAAAAACAAATTGTTAAAAATTGATTTGTTTTTCGAAAGAATGTCAAATAGTGTTTCTCGAGTAATCTAATTGGTATTACATATTAAAACCTTAATTCCTACCGATTGTCATGGACAAAGAAAGTCGTTCTGAATCTGTTCGTTAGTAATCCGCATCAGCGACAGTTTAGCTCAAGATGTAGATTTATTCTAGGTGAAACTGCGTCGGGCGTCGCGCTAAATCGATGATTAAGACTTAGAGGCTCCGAATACTTAAGAAGGCAAATTGACGTTCATTGAATGAAGAGTGAGCTACCGTAACATGTCAGTCAATAAACTACAAGAAATAGTACCCAACCATTTGATCTCGATATTAGATTGGCGACAGAAATTCCGTATTTATCAAATGTAGTAATCCCAAAATAGATCGATGTTTATATATAAAAATATCTCTTTTACTAAAGACGTTGGAATTTTAGTTCTAGTCAACAACAATGATAATCTTGACATAGAAGAACAAGTTTCCAGAGCCACATATGAAAGATGACAGGTATTTAATTATTCTGCAGTTTGTAATTGCAATCATCTACAGTCACAAGTCACAAATGGCAGGGCCACGATAGCGTGACTTCATTAAAAACCTCACTGACCGAGAATCGAACTTCATACCGGCTAGGCGCTGAACCGTGACAACGTGTTTGCAATGTAGGACAGTTCACTATTGTATTATTGAGTAATTAACTTTTACATTCATTTATTACATGATATATATATCTCTTTAATGTATGGACGACAACATTTTTGTCTCTTGAGGTGTCCGTCTTCGATGTCATTAACACTTTCTTCATGATTTGCTAAGTTTTAGTAAATCGATATAAGCGATTGGAACTAAGATAACGTTAACATCATCGTCGCCAAGTAAAAGGAGAAAGTCGCGCTAATATCAACACAAGATCGCTTTCAAATTACACTAGTCGCTTGCTTCCAGTTAAAAATGACTATCTTTACGCCGCGGAAGTAATTACATGATAATACACTCTATATTTACGTTGATACGGATTGTATTCCTATGAGAGCATAGGCTAGATCAGGAAGAGACGCTGGTACAAAAATGTGGTTACCATCGACCGGTTACGGACTAGTTCCACTCTCATACGCACTTTCGATTGATAACTTTTGTCTTCTGTTACGTAATTTCATTTATTTTTAATATTTGTCAGTTCCAATTTTATAAGGAAATGGTCCTTAAATAAATCTAGCTACGTTGAAACATTAAAATATATCCTGCAGTGAGCAAAATTTACATTATTTAAATTCCTTGGTAATTTAGGAGATACATGACAAATTTGAGATGAAAAGTTTTCGCATTTCCATGGAACCGGATCTCGGTGTCCACCCCAGGGCGTGAGTTAAGGCGAAGAGTTATATAGCCAAACTCACGAATAAATCGCATCTTCACATGTACATAAAGTATGGCATAACATGTATAGCCTCCGTGGCGCAATTGGCTAGCGCGTTCGGCTGTTAACCGAAAGGTTGGTGGTTCGAGCCCACCCGGGGGCGCACTTTTTAAATTAATTGTATTTTTAATCTCGACGTTTCTGTATATACATGCTATAATAAATTAATATTTTAATTTATTGTCAAGTTATTTAATTAAAAACATTAAATCAACGTCTTCAATTCATTATGTGTATCTATTTTTATCAATAATCTTTTTTAAAGGTGTTTTAAAGTTATTATCGAGTTTGGTAACTACAAAGATCTTAACGTACACACTAGCAAAATAAGCTATGAACTGTACTGAATCTCCTTGAACCGAGGTTACTGTTTTAGGATACCTGGTTAAATAAATAAAAACAGCATACTATCTGGCCGCACCTGTTTTCACTTTCCTCAAAATTCAATTTGTTCATCGGAAAATACAACCATAACCTATAGATGTAATGTAACAGAATACGACTCTATGTCGTTATAATCCGTTG